TAGGCAAAACCATTCAGGACATAGGTGTAGGTAAGGACTTCATGACCAAAACACCAAAAGCATTGGCAACAAAAGCCAAAATATGCAAATGGGACCTAATCAAACTCCATAGCTTCTGTACTGCAAAAGAAACAGTCATTAGAGTGAATTGGCAACCAACAGAATGGGAAAAAATGTTTGCAGTCTACCCATCTGACAAAGGGCTGATATCTAGAATCTACAAAGAACTAAAACAGATTTACAAGAAAAAAACAAGCCTATTCAAAAGTGGGCAAAGAATATGAACAGACACTTCACAAAAGAAGACATTCATGAGGCCAACAAACATGAAAAAATGCTTATCATCACTGGTCATTAGAGAAATGCAAGTCAAAACTACATTGAGATACCACCTCACACCAGCTAGAATGGTGATCATTAAAAAATTTGGAGACAAAAGATGCTGGAGAGGATGTGGAGAAACAGGAACACTTTTACATTGTTGGTGGAAGTGTAAATTAGTTCAACCATTGTGGAAGACAGTGTGGCGCTTTCTCAAGGACCTAGAAACAGAAATTCCATTTGACCCAGCAATCCCATTACTGGGTATATATCCAAAGGATTATAAATCGTCCTATTATAAGGACATATGCACACATATGTTCATTGCAGCACTGTTCACAATAGCAAAGATCTGGAACCAATCCAAATGCCCATCGATGATAGACTGGAAAGGGAAAATGTGGCACATATACACCATGGAATATTATGCAGCCATCAAAAACGATGAGTTCGTGTCCTTTGTGAGGACATGGATGAACCTGGAAACCATCATTCTCAGCAAACTGACACAAGAACAGAAAATCAAACACTACATGTTCTCACTCATAGGTGGGTATTGAACAGTGAGAACACATGGACACAGGGAGGGGAGCATCACACACTGGGGTCTGTTGGGGGGAAATAGGGGAGGGACAGCGGGGGTGGGGAGTTGGGGAGAGATAGCATGGGGAGAAATGCCAGATATAGGTGAAGGGGAGGAAGGCAGCAAATCACACTGCCATGTGTGCACCTATGCAACAATCTTGCATGTTCTTCACATGTACCCCAAAACCTAAAATGCAATAAAAAAATAAAATAAAGAAAAATAATGAAAGTCCCTTAATATCATTCGTTTCCAAAATTTTCCCCCAGTTATCTCAAAACTCTGTATTAACAGTGATTTGTTAGAATCAAGACTGAAATAAGTCGATACATTGTATTTGATTGATAAATTTCTTAAGTAACAAAGTTTCCGCTCCCCTGGTATTTTTCTTTCCAATTTATTGAAAAAAAAAAAAAAACTAGATCATTTATCCTAGACTTTCTCCCCCACACCACCCCCCCACTCCAAGGTGGAGTCTTACTCTGTTGCCCAGGCTGGAGAGCAGCAGCACAATCTCAGTTCAACGCAGCCTCCAACTCCTGGATTCAAGCGATTCTCCTGCCTCTGTTTCCCAAGTGGCTGGGATTACAGGTGTGAGATACCATGCCCAGCTAATATTTTTTATTTTTAGTGGAGATGGGATTTCACCATGTAGTCCAGGCTGGTCTCCAACTCCTAAACTCAAGTGATCTGCCTGCCTCAGGCTTTCAAAGTGCTGGGATTACTGGCATGAGCCACTGCACCCAAGCTATCCTAGACTTTCACAGTCTGGACTTTGCTGACTGTACTCCCATGGTGTTGTTTAACACGTTCCTCTGTCCCCTGTAAATCCCTATAAAATAATAGTCAGTTCTAAAGGTTTGATCTGCTCCTAGTTTGATTTTGGGGCAAAAATACTTCACAGGTAGCATTACATATTTCAATCAGAAGGGACATAAGGTCCAAATGTCTCTCTTTTTTAAAAAATTCATCTCCAATTTTAACAGTCCTTAATCAGGACAAAAAGCAATGCAGGTCAGAGCCACAATCTTCCATTGGACACATTTCTATTCAACAATACTGCCATCTAGTGTTGACTGACAGTAACTACAGGCTACCATGGGTGGCAGCATGTGCTAGGAGATGGGCCTTGGCTTCCAGAAAGGATCTGCATCTTGGGTCTGACCAAGTGTCACCTTGGGCAAATTATTTAACTCTTTTTTCTTCTTACAGTTTTTTAAATTGAGATAAATTCACATAACATAAAACTAACCATTTTGAAATATGCAATTAAGGATTTTGGCATATTCTCCATGTTTGTTGTGCAACCAACGCAATTCCAGAACATTCCACTATTTCACAAAGAAATTCTGTGCCTCTTAGCAGTCACTGCCCATATTCTCCCCATTCCAGTCCCAGCAACCACTAATCTACTTTTTGTCTCTAGATTTACATACTCAGAACAATTGGTAAAAATGAAATCATACAACATATGGCTTTTTATCTGTCTTCATCTTTCACAAAGCATAATGTTTACAAGGTCCATCCGTGCTGGAGCATGTATCAGTACTTCATTTCTCTACATGGCTAAATTAAATTTCATTGTACGGATTTACCACATTTTGTTTCTCTGTTCATGAGTTAATGAACATTTAGGTTATTCCCACCTTTTGGCTGTTGCAGAAGTTCATATTCAAGCTTCTGTAAAGACATATTGTATTTTGTTTCTGTTTTTGTTTTTGTTTTTTGAGACAGAGTTTCACTCTCATTGCCCAGGTTGGAGTACAATGGTGTGATCTTGGCTGACTGCAACCTCTGCCTCCCAGGTTCAAGTGATTCTCCTGCCTTGGCCTCCCAAGTAGCTGGGTTTACAGGTGCCCACCACCACACCCAGCTAATTTTGTATTTTTAGTAGAGACAGGGTTTCTCCATGTTGGTCAGACTGGTCTCGAACTCCTGACCTAAGTGATCCACCCGCCTCAGCCTCCCTAAGTGCTGGGATTACAGGCGTGAGTTATCACACCCGGCCTATTTTCCATTTCAATAAGCTTTTTAAGTAATCAGTTTCCTCTGCTACAAAATGAAATGAAACAGTATAGAGGTTCCTCAAAAAACTTAAAATAAACCTACTGTGTATGACCCAGCAATCCCATTTCTGAGCATACATCCAAAGAAAACAAAATCAACATCTTAAGAGATAGCTACACTTCCATATTCACTGAAGCATTATTCACAACAGCGAAGAGGTGAAAACAACCTAATGTAAATCAACAAATAAATGGATTAAAAAAATATGATACAGACACAATGAAATATTATTCAACAATAAAAAGGGGACCAGGCATGGTGGCTCAGGCCAGGTGTGGTGGCTCATATCTGTAATCCCAGCACTTTGGAAGGCCAAGGCGGAAGGATCACTTGAGCCCAGGACTTCAAGATCAGCCTAGGCAACACATTGAGATGTCCTATTTCTTTTAAACAGGAATAAAAACTTAAAACTTTTAATTAAAAACTTTTAAAAAGGGAAAAATCCTGCCATTTGCAACAATACAGATGTAGCTGGAGGGCATTATACTAAGTGAAATAAGCCAGACACTGAAAGATAAATCCTGTATGATCTCACGTATATGTGGAACCTAAAAAGGCCAAACACATAGAAACTAAATAGAATGGTAGTTGCCAGGGGCCAGGGAGTGGAGGAAATGAAATGCTGGTCAGAGGGTACAAGCTTTCAGTTCTAAAAAAAATACATTCTGGTGAGCTAATGTGTAGCATGGTAATTATATTTAATAGCACTATATCATATACTTGAAATTTGCTACCAGAGTAAGTCCTAAATGTTCTCATCCCACCCACACAAAATGGTAACAATAATAGGTGATGTATGTGCTAAATTACTTCACTGTGGTAATCACTTCACAATGTATACATTTATCAAATCATCACATTGCATACTTTCAATATAAACAATCTTATTTGTCAAAAAAAAAATGAAAGCAATACCTATTCTTAGTCATTTATTCAAAAACTTTTTGAGTGTTGAAGGAAAAGCACTATATACAACGATTCAATAATCAATACTGGCTCAATTCTTGGCCAAAAAGACAGACCTTTAATAACCAATTATACAATAAGCTTTTATAAACACTGTGAGAAGTAGGAGTACTATGAGAAGCTATTAACAGGGAGCCTAACTAGGGGTCAAGACTGATAGTATAGTTAAACATACAGAAAAGGAGGAAAAGCACAGGATGAGACTGGAGAGGTGGCAAGAGACAAGGGATTTTAGAATTTATCCTAATGCTTTTTCAGAGTCCGACCATAGCTAAGAAATCAAACAATATGATCAATGATGGGACAAACTGACCACTTCTATCTCTTGATGTTCACCAAGGCTAACTTAATATCACCTAAACAGTGTTTTTACCCAAAAATATTTTAAACTGAATCTAATCATAAGGAAACAATCAGACAAGTCACAATTTACCATATGATGATGAAAAGTAAACAAGATGCTAAACCAACAAAATACTTTAATGTATGTGAAGTACATAATATTGAATGGAGGCTCATCCAAAGTCCTGGGGAAAGTTTGAACTTAAATGACAAGCTGGCAGTGGTCTTTCCTATTAACCTGCAAAGGCAAGACACAAGCAGAAAAGAAAGGGGTACGGCCACACTGCAAATACTTAGAAATTCTGCCTTTTGTGATCACTGTAAAAATCCTATCACCTTATTTACTTCTGTATTTTATCAAACATCTACTGAAAAATTAAAATCCAAGAAATATCTATTAAGTTTAATAAATGTCTATTGTACAAAGACATGTAATATTCCTGAAAGGTCTCATTTATAAGTCAGAGAGGATTCTCAGATTACACCATGCCCTCCCTCTAATAAATACAACACAGGAATACAAGTGAAGAAAATGTTAATCATCATACCAATGAAGATCCTTTCCCAAGAAGGTTCTCTTGAAGAATGACTAACACAAATGTTTACAAGGTTGCACAGATACCCTCAGCCTGCATATTCAGACTCTCCTGAATTTGCCAGTTATACCGATATAAGCAAAGACATATATTCTGTTGAAAACTTGTGATTACCACAGTCCTACCTTCAGTCTTCTTCTCTAAAACTTTCATCAAATGATCTAGAGCTTCCTCCACATGCAGCCCATGGAGGTCTAAAACATTCTGTGGCAGCAGTGAGGCATTGACTTTCTCAAAGATCTCCACAGCAGCAAGGTGATTGGCTTCTTTCATCTTCAGTTCATGAAGAGTACCCTGAATCATAAACATATCACCAAGGGACACTTTTGATATTTGCTACTTGGGTGATGAGAAAATTAATAGTGCCCCAAATAAAAGGCCAGGAGAAAAAAGGGAATAATAAATCTAAAATCTTAATGCATTGAGTTTAATACACAATAATGCACCAAAATTTAGGTAAATTTCAACGTATTAATAATGTAGTCCTGGCTGGGTGCAGTGGCTCATGCCTGTAATCCCAGCACTTTGGGAGGCCAAAGCGGGCAGATCACGAGGTCAGAAGCTTGAGATCAGCCTGGCCAACATAGTGAAACCCCATCTCTACTAAAATTACAAAAAATCAGCTTGGTGTGGTGGCAGGCACCTGTAATCCAGCTACTTGGGAGGCTGAGGCAGGAGAATCGCTTTAACCCAGGAGGCAGAGGTTGCAGTGAGCTGAGATCATACCACTGCACTCCAGCCCAGGTGACAGTGCAAGAATATCTCTAAATAAATAATAATAATGCAGTACCTAAACTACTGAGTCATTCTTTCTAACAAATTTTCCGAACCAAAAGTCGTAAAAGTGGGAAACTTAACTAAACACAATCCCCATCTGTGACAGTTAATTTTAGGTATCAATTTGACTGGACTGAGGAATACCTAGATGGCTGGTGAAGCATTGTTTCTGGGTGTGTCTGAGAGTGTTTCCAGAGAAGACTGACGTGTGTGTCAGTGGACAGAAAGAAGACCTGCCCTCCATGTGGGCAACTGGGGGCTGGCTAGGATACCAACCATGTGGGCAGCTGGGGGCAGGCTAGGACAAACAGGCAGATGTTCTCTTCCTGCCTTTGGAATTAGGACTCCGCGTTCTTCAGCTTTTAGACTGTGGGACCCACACGAGCTGCCTCTCGGTGGGTCTTGAGTGTTTGACCCTAGACTGGGGACTGCACTGTCAGTATCCTTGATTCTGAGGCTTTGAGCTTTGACTGCACTACACTCCTGGCTTTAAGCCATGGTTCTCTAGCTTACAGGTGGTCTATTATGGGACTTCTCCACCTCTGTGATTGTGAGTGCCAATTCCCCCTAATAAATTCTTTTTTATATATCCCACTGGTCTGTCTCTCCAGAGAACTCTAATACATCCATCATCTCAAGAAGGAACCACTGGTTTATTTACTTTATTTTTTTGTATTTGTTTTTAAAACCACTGGTTTATTATTTGTGTATGCTTTGATAATACTGGGTCTCATCTTGGTCACCTTCAACATCTTATAGTTATTCACCCCAGAAGCTATCCTCCAAGGACTACTGAGGGGTCACAGGGTTACAGCAGTTTGATACTCTTCTCTGCTCAAACACAAAGAAGTAACGCATATGGAAACACAAACATAAAAATTTAAGCAGACTCCTTGCTGGGCATGGTACCTCATGCCTATAATCCCAGCACTTTGGGAGGCTGAGATGGGAGGATTGCTTGAGCACAGGAGTTCATGACCAGCCTGTACAACATAATAAGTAAGACCCCATCTCTACAAAAAATACAAAAATTAGCTTAGCCTGGTGGTATGTGTCTGTAGTCCCAGCTATTTGGGAAGCTGACACAGGAGGATCACCTGAGCCCGGGAGGTCAAGGCTGCAGTAAGCTGAGACTGCACCACTACACTCCAGCCTGGGCAACAGAGCAAGACCTTATCTTAAAAAAAAAGCAGGTTCCTTAGAATACATGTCAAATGACCCCAGGTAGAAATTTTACTTCCCTAAAAAATATTAATGTCATTTTTCTACTATGAAAGTGATGTGTTACTAAAAATTCCAACATGATAGAAGGCACAAAACCCCTTTAATCCCACTCTGAGATGGCCAATATTAATATTCTGCTGCCAGAAATATGGACTGTCAGAATAAACTGTAATTCCACTTAAGCAGTAAATGCAAAAGCAACCACAGAAGCTGAGCATTTCAAATGTTCAAAACAGCAGGAGATGAAATTCCCAGGACCATACATTTCTTAGGATACCTCATTTATGTCACTTATATAACCACTACATTCCCCAGAATAACTTAATCTAGTAACAATATGGGTGTTATCTGCTTCAAGATTAGTTAGTTAGTTATAACTGACAAAGAAAAAAATGTATGATCAGTTTTCCACTTTACCTGCTGGGCATAAAAGGTGGCGACATGTTTTTTCCCTATCCGATAAGCTTCTTTGGCCTTGCTGTAACACTCCATCCTCTTCTGCTGGTGAAGGAAAGCCTCTGCCCTGTAGTCATCATAGTCTGGGTACTCAAAGTCTTGGAAAGACAGTTCGCTTGGTGTTTCTTCATTCTCTTTTAATTTCTTTGGCTGTAAGATTTTAAACAATAAGTGAAACACACAGAGAGTTTAAAAAACTAATGCCTTACTCCTTCACTCAACGCACATGAAAACTGTGCTCTCATATATTTTTATCTCTCTGCTTCGGAAACAGATTCTCTCCAGTGTTTACCTTGTAAGTCAGTCAGCCGTGTATCAACTATCATTAACTTTTTTATGCCATTAAGGTTACCCTTTCTTTAACCACTCTTATCTCTGGAGATGTTGAAGAGTTCTCTAAAATTAACAAAATACAATTAGGGCTATTGAACTCGAGTTGGAAGAGGTGAGTCAGGTCTCAAAATGGAGGTAAAACCGCCATCTGGTCGTCCCCAGCCCAACTCCAGCTATCGCTGCCACTGCCAGGGGGAAGAGAGCCATGATCACAAGGAATCAGAGCAGTTAAGAAAACTGTTCACTGGTGGTCTGAGCTTTAACACTACAGATGATAGTTTAAGAGAACATTATGAGAAATGGGGTACACTCACAGATTGTGTGATAATGAGAGATTCCCCCCCAAAATGTTCCAGAGACTTTGTTTTTGTGACTTATTCTTGTGTTGAAAAGGTGAATGCAATGTATGCTCAACCACACAAGGTTGACTGGTGTGTAGTGGAACCAAAGACAGTTATTTCTAGAGAGGATTCTATAAAGCCTGGTGCCCATCTAACAGTGAAGAAAAATTTTTTGGTGATATTAAAGAAGATACAGAAGAATATAATTTGAGAGACTACTTTGAAAAGTATGGCAAGATTGAAACCACAGAAGTTATAGAAGACAGTCAGAGTGGAGTAAAAAGAGAATTAATTTGCTTTCGTAACTTTTAATAATGGTGATAAACTCTTGATAAAACTGTTGTTCGGAAATACCACATTATTAATGGGCGTAATTGTGAAGTGAAAAAGGCCTTTTCTAAACAAGAGACGCAGTCTGCTGGATCACAGAGAGGTCGTAGAGGTGGACCCAGCAATTTTTTTTTTTGAGGCGGAGTTTCGCTCTTGTTACCCAGGATGGAGTGCAATGGCGCGATCTCAGCTCACCGCAACCTCCGCCTCCTGGGTTCAAGCAATTCTCCCGCCTCACCCTCCTGAGTAGCTGGGATTACAGGCATGCGCCACCATGCCCAGCTAATTTTTTGTAATTTTAGTAGAGACGGGGTTTCACTATGTTGACCTGGATGGTCTCAATCTCTTGACCTCGTGATCCACCCACCTCGGCCTCCCAAAGTGCTGGGATTACAGGCTTGAGCCACTGCGTCTGGCCAGACCTAGCAATTTTATGGGTTGTAGAGGAGGAAACTTTGGAGATGGTAGAGATAATTTTGGCTGTGGTAGAAACCTTGGTGGAAGAGGAGGCTATGCTGGTAGAGGTGGTGGCATCAAAGGTGCTTATGGAGGAGGTGATGGTGGATATAATGGATTTGGAGGTGATTGTGGCAACTATGGCGGTGGTTCTGGTTATAGTAGTAGAGGGGGCTATGGTGGTGGTGGACCAGGATATGGAAACCAAGGTGGTAGATATGGTGGTGGTAGAGAATATGATAGTTACAATGAAGGAGGAAATTTTGGCGGTGGTAACTATGGCGGTGGTGGAAGCTATAATGATTTTAGGAATTATAGTGGCAAATAGCAATCAAATTATGAACTCATGAGAGGGGACAGTTTTGGTGGAAGAAGCTCGGGCAGTCCCCATGGTGGTCGTTATGAAATCTGGTGGTGGAAGTGGTAGACATGGCAGCAGAAAAGGGCTACAGTTCTTAGCAGGAGTGAGAGTGAGGAGTTGGCAGGAAAGCTGCAGGTTGCTTTGAGACAATAGCTCTTTTGAGCTATTGTCTCAATTAGAGGAACTGTAAAAATGTGCCACAGAAGAAACGATTATTTATAGTCAGAAAAGTCACTGCAGCTTAAACAGGAAACGCTTCTTGTTCAGGACTGTCACAGACATAGTTTGCAAAATTGCAGCTACTGATTAATGCAATGTACTATCAATTAGATGTACATTTTTGAGATCTTTTATCTGTTGTAGCTTTGTCTTTTTTATGCTTTTGTCAAGTATATTGCCCTGTAATTTGTGGTAGTGCTACCAGGAATAAAAAATTAAGAAATTTTTAATTTTTCAATATTTGTGTAGTTTAGTTTTTCAATATTTTAGTACAGAAACTTTAACAAAATGCAGTTTTAAAGGTTTTGACTGTGAGTTAATAAGATCACTGTTAATTACTATTTTGTATGAATTTTGCTAAAGTTAACTGTAAAGAAACACCTGCTGACTTGCAGTGTAAGGGGAATCTATTCTCCTCATTTCCAATTCATGATATGAACAGGTGCTGACAAGTGGAGACAATAGATATTTGTGTTTGCACTCTGTGTTTTAGATAAATAGGACTGGGTATTTAAATTAGCATTTGTGAATTTAATAGTATTAAGATTGCCTTCAAATTTAAAAAAAAATCTCAAATTTCTTAAAAAAAAAAAATTAGGTCACTAAATCAAGCCAAAAGAATAAAAGATATTCTGCATGGTGGCTCATGCCAATAATCTTGCCCTTTGGAAGGTTGAGGCAAGAGGAGGCTGAGGCAGGAGGATCAATTGAAACAAGAAGTTCGAGACCAGCCTGGACAACAAAGAAAGACCTCTCTACAGATATATTTATATGTTGTGCACTGCACTTGGCCACAATCACTAACTGGTATGATTTTTTTTCATTTCCTTTCTGTGAAGAGTTCCGAAGTCAAGAAAGGTTGGGAAAAACTGGCCTCATATATAACAGTAGGTGGTTATACAATTTCTTCATTCATTACATTTTGCTCATTTAGCCCCAGAACTCCATAGGCTTTAAAGAGTTAAAGAAAAGAAAGGAGGGAAAAAAAAGAATAGACATCACCATACTCCTAACTCACTACCAGAGCAAATCAGTTGATATATTTTTGTAACAGATACCCAAATTATTTTATGAAAGAACACAAGGATGTCTGTGATATAAGAATATTAATAGAACCTGCCTCCTGATGTCACTCTTACCAGTGCTTAATCTACAAGCTTCTTTATATTAACATTTAAATATTCTATGAATGCACAGCTTGATTCCCTGATAAAATCAAAGACTTTGGGGAGGATAATAAAACTACTTTCTAAGACTTTTGAAAACTTAATAGTGCCTAACATTATGAACTTAATAAATACTTCATAGCATTAGGGTTTCTGTAGGTATTTATACTAAAAAAATGCAATCATATTTGATTCTCTGGCAACAGACCCTTTATTTTTCGTTTTCTTAAAAATATATAAATAATGAAAGACATTTTCTCAAATAGTTATTCTCTTTTAAAATACATCAGAAATTTACTTTTATATTCATTTCATAGTGACATGGTTTACTATTACTTCATTAACAAGGGCCAAGTGAAATATTTGCTTCCTGTGGCCAGGTGAGGTGGCTTATTCCAGGTGAGGTGGCCAGGTGAGTGCTGAGTAATCTCAGCACTTCGGAAGGCTGGAGCAGGAGGTCACCTGAGCCTAACAATTCAACCAGCCTGGGCAACAGAGTGAGAACCAACTCTACAAAATATTTAAAAATTAGTCAAACATGATGGTGCATGCCTGGTCCCAGCTACTCGGGAAGCTGAGGCAAGATCAGTTAAGACCAGGAAGCTAAAGCTTCAATGAGCTATGCTGGTGCCACTGCATTCCAGCCTGGGCAACAGAGCAAGACCCTGTCTCCGAAAAGAAATATTTGCTTCCTAGGAATTTACCTAATATTCTCTTGAAAGCATGATGCATTACACTAAAATTTCCTGTGGTAACAAACCTGTAAAATGTAAAGACCAAAAAAAAAATACACAGTAGTATTAATACAATGGATTTTAAATGTTACTTTCTTGAAAAGAGAAGAACCAAAATGTTACTGGCACTAGGATATCCCCTATAGCAATGTGGTCCCTGAGCATCCTGGGAGAACAAAGAGACAGATTATTCTCTTCAAAAATCTTAACAGATTTTAATCAGTTTTGAGACACCTGCCTACATTTTGTGGGCAAGGCGAAGGCATAACTCACAAAAACTTTCTGATTATATTTCTTTCTTTTTTTTTTAAGACAGTGTTTCGCTCTTGTTACCCAGGCTGGAGTGCAATGGCCCGATCTTGGCTCACCACCTCCATCTCCTGGGTTCAAGCGATTCTTCTGCCTCAGCCTCCCCAGTAGCTGGGATTACAGGAATGTGCCACCACCACGCCCAGCTAATTTTGTATTTTTAGTAGAGACAGCGGTTTCTCCATGTTGGTCAGCTGGTCTTGAACTCCCAACCTCAGGTGATCCACCCGCCTTGGCCGTACCTGCCCTTTGATAACATTTCCAATCATCTCCCACTTTGAGTAACCATACCCTCTTATCACCCCTATTAGCATAATGACTCGCACTGCCTTGCATGTTATCAGCAGAGAGAATGTACTTGTAATAAACAATCCAAAAATAAAATTAATGCATAATTCCAGGCCAGGTGACTCAAGACTGTATTGCTTGAGCCCAGGAGATGAAACCAGTCTGGGCAACATAGCAAGACCCTTGTCTCTCTTTTTTTTTTTTTTTAATTGAGATGGAGTTTTGCTCGTTACCCAGGCTGGAGTGCAATGGCACGATCTCAGCTCACCGCAACCTCCGCCTCCTGGGTTCAGGCAATTCTCCTGCCTCAGCCTCCTGAGTAGCTAGGATTACAGGCACACGCCACCGTGCCCAGCTAATTTTTTGTATTTTTAGAAGAGACAGGGGTTTCACCATGTTGACCAGGATGGTCTCGATCTCTTGACCTTGTGATCCACCCGCCTTGGCCTCCCAACCTTGTCTCTTTTTAATTTAAAATTAATATCAAAAAATAAAGTAGGCCCAGTGCAGTGGCTCACGCCTGTAATACCAGATCTTTGGGAGGCCGAGGCGGGCGGACCACCTGCAGTTGAGAGTCTGAGACCAGACTGACCAACATAGAGAAACCCTGTCTCTACTAAAAATGCAAAAAAAATTACCCAGGTGTGGTGGCGCATGCCTGTAATCCCACCTACTCAGGAGGCTGAGACAGGTGTATTGCTTGAACCTGGGAAGCAGAGGTTGCAGCGAGCAAGATCATGCCACTGCACTCCAGCATGGGCAACAAAAGCAAAACTATCTCAGAAAAAAAAGTAAATTTTTAAAAAAGGCAACATAATTCCAGACCAGAAAGAAACAAAACAAACAAACAAATAATTCCATTTACAACAGCATGAAAAAGAATAAAATACTGTATTAAAAATAAACTTAACAAAAGATGTGCAAAATTTATACTCTGAAAACTATAACACATTGTTGAAGGAAATTAAAGAAGACCTAAATGAACTGAAAGATACTCCATTTCATGAATTGAAAGACTTAATATTGTTAACTGGCAATACTTCTCAGATTGCTCTACATATTCAACACAAACACCATCAAAATTCTAGTCGGCTTCTGTACATAAATTCACGAACCAATTCTACAATTCACATGGAAATCCAAGGGCATCAGAAGAGCCAAAATCTTTAAAAAAAAAAAAAAAAAAGAGCATAGTTGGAAGATTCACATTTCCCAATTTTAAAACTTACCACAAAGCTACAGTAATCAAGACAAGTGGTACTGGCATTAGGAAAGACATACAGATCAATGGAATACAATTAGGAGTCCTTACAATTATGGTCAATTCATTTTTTTTTTTTACTGCATTTTAGGTTTTGGGGTACATGTGAAGAACATGCAAGATTATTATATAGGTACACACATAGCAGTGTGATTTGCTGCCTTCCTCCCCTTCACCTATATCTGGCATTTCTCCCCATGCTATCTCTCCCCAACTCCCCACCCCGCGCTGTCCCTCCCATTTCCCCCCTACACACCCCAGTGTGTGATGCTCCCCTCCCTGTGTCCATGTGTTCTCACTGTTCAACACCCAACTATGAGTGAGAACATGTGGTGTTTGATTTTCTGTTCTTGTGTCAGTTTGCTGAGAATGATGGTTTCCAGGTTCATCCATGTCCCTACAAAGGACACTAACGCATCGTTTTTGATGGCTGCATAATATTCCATGGTGTATATGTGCCACATTTTCCCTTTCCAGTCTATCATCAATGGGCATTTGGATTGGTTCCAGGTCTTTGCTATTGTGAACAGTGCTGCAATGAACATATGTGTGCAAGTGTCCTTATAGTAGAACGATTTATAGTCCTTTGGATATATACTCAGTAATGGGATTGCTGGATCAAATGGAATTTCTATTTCTAGGTCCTTGAGGAAGCGCCACACTGTCTTCCACAATGGTTGAACTAATTTACACTTCCACCAAGAGTGTAAAAGTGTTCCTGTTTCTCCAGCATCTGTTGCCTCCAGATTTTTAAATGATCACCATAATAGCTGGTGTGAGGTGGTATCTCAATGTAGTTTTGACTTGCATTTCTCTAATGACCAGTGATGACGAGCATTTTTTCATGTTTCTTGGCCTCATGAATGTCTTCTTTTGTAAAGTGTCTGTTCATACTCTTTGCCCACTTTTGAATGGGCTTGTTTTTTTCTTGTAAATCTGTTTTAGTTCTTTGTAGACTCTGGATATCAGCCCTTTGTCAGATGGGTAGACTGCAAACATTTTTTCCCATTCTGTTGGTTGCTGATTCACTCTAATGACTGTTTCTTTTGCCATGCAGAAGCTGTGGAGTTTGATTAGGTCCCATTTGTCTATTTTGGCTTTTGTTGCCAATGCTTTTGGTGTTTTGGTCATGAAGTCCTTATCTACACCTATGTCCTGAATGGTTTTGCCTAGATTTTCTTCTGGGTTTTTATGGTGTTAGGTCTTATGTTTAAGTCTTTAATCCATCTGGAGTTAATTTTAGTGTAAGGTGTCAGGGAGGGGTTCAGTTTCTGCTTTCTGCACATGGCTAGCCAGGGTCAATTTATTTTCAACAAGAGTGCCAAGAAAATTTAATGGGGAAAGAATAGTCTTTGCAACAAATGGCAAGAGACAAGTGGATATCCACATGTGAAAGAATCAACTCAGATTTCTATCTCACAACATATACAAAAATTAAATCAAAATGGATTAAAGACCTAAATGAAAGGCCTGAAACTATAAAACTCCTAGAGAAAATACAGGAGGAAAGTTCATGACACTGGATTTGGCAATGAAGCACAGGCAACAATAGGAAAAGTAGACAAACTAGACTAGATCAAATTTAAAAGACTTCAGTGTTCCAACAGAAACAACAGAGTGAAAAGGCAACTTATGGAAAGGACAGAATATCTGCAAATCACAGGTCTGATTGGGGACTTGTATCTAGAGTATATAAAGAATACTTACAAGTCAACAATAAAGACAAATAACCCAATTTAAAAATAGGAAAAGGATATGCACAGACATTCCTCCAAAGACGTACAAATGACCAATAGCACATAAAAAAATGCCCAACATCAATAGTTATCAAGGAAATGCAAATCAAACCAAAAGATACCCCTTCCGTATTAACCATGTCTTTTATTTTCTGTATTCTGGCGCTGGCATTTTTGCAGCCTTCATGATGTTAGAGAGGCTGTTCCCTCTGCCCTCTCATTTCCATCCACTCTCACAACCCCCTCAGGTTTAGCTAATTCCTAGAGGTAACAAACATGTGTCTGGGAGCACAGCTTTAGGTTTAGCTAATTCCTAGAGGTAACAAACATGTGTCTGGGAGCACAGCTTTCATTTGCAAACCAACCAATCCAGAATCTAGGCCTCCAACCTCCTCCTTGAATGGGGTTCTCCCACTCCAGGGCACTGCCCTCATCACCCTACGGCCAATTATCAGACAAACAGAGAAAGTCCCTATGCTCCGGAGCCTGCTGAAATTATTTAAACTAGCCAATCCTAAACCTGCTTACTCTGCCTTGCATATTCCTTCTCATAGAATCCAAAATACAGGCTTTTCTCCACATTTCCCCCCTACTCCTGCTTCCTGACCAATCCTGCTGGCTCCCCATGTGGCCTTGGGTAGCAAGCCATACCTCCTGTTTCAAGAGCTCTACGAGTATAATAAACTTCCTTCACAACATTTCCATCTCTGCATGTCTTACTATACCTGATTAAAACAAATCCTGGACATTTTAAAAACAACTTCCCACTGACTATAATGGTTATAATAAAAAAGACAGGTATTCAATAATAACACGTGTCAGTGAAGATGTGGAGAAATTGTAACCCTCATACAGTTCTAACGGAAATATAAAATGGTGGAGCAACTTTGAGAAAAAAATTGGCACTTTCCCAAAAGCCTAAGTATTTCTGCCCAGGTTTATATTCAAGACCCATCGTATTACAAACCTACAGCTATTCAATTAAACCATATACTCTACTGTGTCCAAGTATACAGAAATTGCAGATATTCAAGTGCCTGTTTATCATACACACAAAGAAAAAAAATCAACTATAAACTCATTATTTTGAGTGCACAGATATTCTAAGCCAAATATGCCATTGGTGGTTAAATTTCCAGTCTAGACAAAATGGTGAGAAATAATCATTAAATTATTATACTCAATAAACCAATTATATTTTTATATGCAGTTATCTACCCTTGTAGAAAAAACTTAGTAACTCCATACCTTTTTCTCTTTAGAATTCTGGCCAGTATGAGATGTGACATTCTCATTTTGGTGAACAAACTCTTGAGCTACAACTGTTTTTACAGGGTCCCCTTCAAAAACACAGTTTAGAAATTGCACTGTGTGTTCTAATGAATAGCTGTAGAAAATTTAAGAACAAGCATAATGTCAGTAAATGAAAATAAGTTATGTGGAGACATTAACACAAGAATCTTCAAACATCTTACAAGAGTATAAAAAACTGGCTTAAGTTAAATGCTCATGGTGTGTATCTCAAAAAAATAATCAAGAATGATCAGAAGGAAACCATCAAGTAATAGGTTCTCAAAAACTAATTTTCAAAAAATGAATACCAAAAGGTAATATATTGATAATTCAATTGCTAATCTTGTTGTGCAGATTATCCACAACAAATCTTTCATTTTATCACCTACTCTTCTTAAATCCTTTGTTGGATTCACACTTGGTTTCCCTCAAACAACAAACACAGACAATAGACCTTTAAGCTGACATTTTTATTGTGTAAAATCCCATTTACTTTTACCATGGGATTCTAGTCAAATTCTAAATAAGGATACAGAAAATAAAAAGTAAAGCACTACCCTACCTCTCATGCCTGCATTATACAGTCATATCTTGAGGGTGATACTACAGTATCTGTAGAATGAAATTCTACAAATTGACAAATGTCTGATACACTCATGTTGCAATATCTAAAGAAAATCATTCAAAAAAATTACATATGATTTTATGCTGCTCAGTATTTCACACTATTTATGTCTCTCACCTCTTCCATTGGCCAGATACTGAGGAACTGAATACATACAAATATTTTTTGAAATTTGGTTAACTAGGCCAGGCGTGGTGGCTCATGCATGTAATCCCAGCACTTTAGGAGGCTCAGGCAGGTGGATCATCTGAGGTCAGGAGTTCAAGATCAGCCTGGCCAACACGGTGAAACCCCATCTCTACTAAAAATATGAAAAAAATTAGCCAGGCATGGTGGCATGTGCCTGTAATCCCAGCTACTAAATGAATACCGAAAGGTAATATATTGGTAATTCAACTGCTAATTCTTTGTTGTGCATATTATCCATAACAAATCTTTCTTTCATTTTAGCACCAATTCTTCTTAAATCCTTCGTTGGATTCACACTTGGTTTCCTTGGACATTCTTAAAACAACTTCCTAGTCACTACAATAGTTATAATAAAAAAAAGACAGGTATTGGCCGGGCATGGTGACTCACACCTGTAATCCTAGCACTTTGGAGGCCAAGGCAGGCGGATCACCTGAGGTTGGGAGTTCAAGACCAGCCTGACCAACACGGTGAAACCCCATCTTTAAAAAATAAAAACAAAAAAACCCCACAGGTATTAAATAACACGTGTCAATGAGGATGCGGAGAAAATTGTCTCTACTACAAATATGAGAAAAATTAGCCAGGCATGGTGGCATGCGCCTGTAATCCCAACTATTCAGGAGGCTAAGGCAGGAGAATCACCTGAACCTGGGAGGCAGAGGTTGTAGTGAGCCGAGATAGTGCCACTGCACTCCAGCCTAAGCAACAAGAGCAGAACTCTGTCTCAAGAAAAAAAGAAAGAAAGAAATGATGATTAGTGGTTAACTAATCATCCAAAATAGTGTGGCATTTTGCTATTCCTCAGTTTATTAAAGACCACCTCTGAAGGGAAGCCATGTGCTTCAGTTCCACTTCCGCCCTCTCATCTTGCTGTGTCAGATATGCTCAACACAAAGGGTATCAGTATCCAGTGGCTGGATGCTACCAACAATAAAAATATCTTTCCAGGCCTTAAAATCACCCACCTGCTCAAGGGCCTGGAAGTCAGTCTCTAGCTCTGACACTGTTTGAGGGTCACAGCCCTAAATGATTACACCTCAAGCACATATTGTAGTAACTGAGCCCACCTACCCATCTTACCAGGATGAAGTTGAACCTACTGCTAGCTGAGAAGATATCAGCAGACAAATGGAGGCAGTCAGCCACCTAACATGAGGGGCCTGGCTGACCTATCACTGGCCATCCCCAGAAAGGACACACCAAGCCCCCTCTTTTCCCTGGGGAAGCACAACTCTGGGCTATTTCATCTCAGGCTCTTGCCCTAGGTACTCAGAGAACAGGAGTGGCCATATGCTAGCATCACCCTGTGGCATCTGGGAGATTTTAACACAAAACCCTCAGAAAATAGCAAGTTAGGTAGCAAAAATAAATAAGAAAATTAAGAGATTGGAATACTACCATTAAAGATTTGATTTAGGTGACATATTTAGAACTCTGCACACTTAACAGAGAATAAATATTAAGTACAGGCTGGGCTGGGAATGGTGGTTCACACCTGTAATCCCAGCAATTTGGAGGCCAAGGCGGGAGAATCCCTTGAGCTCAGGAGTTCAAGACCAGCCTAGGCAACATGGTGAAACCCTGGCTCTACAAAAAAAAAAAATACAAAAAACTAGCCGGGCCTGGTGGCACGTGCCTGTAGTCCCAGCTACTTTGGAGGCTGAGGTGGGAAGATCACTTGAGCTTGGGAGGTCAAGGCTGCAATGAGCCAAGATCGTGCCACTGCACTCCAATCTGGGCAACAGCAAGACCCTATCTCACACAAACACATATACCAAAAGAAGTATATGTTGACTACTCCTCATCCAAAATACTTGGGATCCAAAGTGGCTGAGATTTCAGATTTTTCGAAATTTTGGAATATCTGCATATACATAAAGAGATACCTTGGGAATGGGTTCCAAGCCTAGACATAAAATTCACTAATGTTTTTATATGCCTTAAAAATTGGCCAGGCAAGGTGGCTCACACCTGTAATCCCAGCATTTTGGGAAGCCGAGGTAGGTGGATCACCTGAGGTCAGGAGTTTGAGACCAGCCTGGCCAACATGGTGAAACCCTGTCTCTACTAACAATACAAAAATTATCTGGGTGTGTTGGTGCATGCCTGTAATCCCAGCTACTCAGGAGGCTGAGACAGGAGAACTGCTTGAACCTGGGAGGCAGAGGTTGCAGTGAGCCACAAAGGTGCCACTGCACTCCAATCTGGGCAACAGAGTAAGACTCTATCTAAAAAAAAAAAAAAAGAAAGAAATTCTAGGGTAAATAGAAAATTAAGCTAAAATTTGATATTTAGAAAACAATGAAAATTAAAATATCATATATCAAAATCAAAACAATATAGAGAAAAATTCATACTTTAAACGTATGTTATTAAAGACTGAAAGGAAATAAACTAACCAGAGTTGAAAATATACTAACAAATTCTAAGAGAAAGATACCAATAAAAATAAATAATTAGCATAAAACAGACTTTGCCCAATAAACCAAGATTCTCTCCCTAAGAAAGCACAGGCCCAGAACCTTCAGGGTATGAAGCTCTTTAAACTTTCCATAGCAGAGAGAAAAACAGCGGTCTGCCAGTTTATTTTATTAAGCCTAACACCAAATAAAACATTGAAACCAAAATCTGACACAAACAGCCCAGGAACAGAAAACATATCACAGATCAACACCATTTCATTACTATTGCAAAAATTCCAATGAACTAGTAAATCAATTTCTCCCTACATTAAAGGAAAAAAAAAAGACAAAAATCTGAAGGTAAAGTAGGTTTTATTCCAGAAATCCATTATTGTCATTGATACGAAATATATTAATAAAGATATAAATCTATATTCGATTCTCAAAAAGTATCTATTTAAAACAAACTTCTGTGAGGAATTTAAAAATACATGATCAAAAGTATATATTTTTCAAAGCAGAGCATTCCTCATATACCTAACATAACTACAATAATTAAAACAATATGGTAGCAACTCAGGATCTAACAAATAGCTCAATGGAATTGAAGTCCTTAAAAGAAAATATGTATTTAGGAATGCAGTAAGCATTACTGGTTATGTTTTATACCAGTGGGCAAAGATAATCCATTCATTTGGTTACGCACATTTGGAAAAACAGGTTAAATCTCTAGCTCATTTATAAATCTCTACCTGATACCATACCACACACATAAGAAGTTAGATATTTAAATAACAAAGAAAATATTTTTATAATATTGGGACATAACAGACACCCTAAATAAAACATAACACTCAGAAACAGTAAAGACAAAGATTTTCTGTCCTGCAGGCAATCTCCCAGATACTGAAGGACAACTGTATTTTGAGACAGAGAGACCACATTTACTAATTTATATTACAGTAAACTGCTATAATTGCTCTATTTTATTGTTAGTTGTTGTTGTTGTTAATCTTTTACTGTGGCTAATTTATAAACTAAATTTTATTTACAAGGAAAAAAACATAGTATATATAGGGTTCAGTTATATTACGGTTTCATGCATCCACTGGGGGTTTTGGAATATATAACCACAGATTAGGAGGGACTCCTATAGACCTATATTATTTTTGTTATCAGAAAAATAAATATGACATATGCTTTCAGTGACATCAGAGTAGAAACCACAGACAATCCTTCTAGCACTCACTTGTGGTCCTTGAAAATGTCCACCAGAAAATTTTGGTTAATGCCTGGAAATATTTCAAAGAGCTGCTTCTCCTTTAGTTTAGTGGCACAATCTTTTTCAAACATAAGTCTCTCCCTTTTCTAAAACAAAAACAGAAATAATCTTCAAGATAAAATGTTTAATACTAGAAACACTGATCAAAGGCATGGTTATTTTGTTGCAAAATTACTGATGATTTAAAAGCAATCACAGACTTTCTTCACTAATTAAAGGCTGAAATTAGTCTTTATGAGTACTTTTGCACTATTTATTTGTATCCCATTTTTTACAAAGTATTTGAAGTTGCTCATAAACATATACACACACAAAATCACACATATACATTTATGTGTGTACACAGGTATGTATACATATACACATACTGTCAGATATGCATATCCAACACATTGAATCATTATATTAAAATGATGAAGAGACATATAGATACATAAACACATATCCACAGGATATAAATAAATGAAGTCAGAATAGAGAAAATAAAGATAAAAATATATAAGATAAAGCTAGCAGTGTTAGTATATAAATGATGACACAAAATCCTGTACAATTGCTACAGGTAGGCCACAAATTTAGTTCTGAGACTCTTAGTGGCCAAAGCAAAGGGGGAAACAAAGATTCTCATTGTCCATAAAATAAAAACAAACCAGTTTCTCGGGAGAAGTACAGCTTTTTCTGGTATTGAGACCTGAGAGAAATTTCTCCCATGGGTCCTCATAAAAGGGACACTGGATGATGCTGTGAACATCGTCCCCAAAAACATATTCTCCTCAATGGGCAGAAACTACAATGTACAATTAAGCTGCAAACTCAGATTGACAGAAAATCTTAGAATTCACAATTGTTTTTTAAGTTTTTCACAAATATATTTACTGCAAAATAACTGCATAAGAATTGTTACATTATTACTCACAATTCATATTTGGATTTGCTCTATTTAAACTGTCAGACCAAAAGAACTTTCCTAAAAATATGATATTTTAATTCTAACCTAAGATGATAGTAAATATTCTTAAAGTGATAATTTGTCAACATTTTAACATAACAAAATAATTTTGTTTGCTACAAAGATGCTGCTGTCTGAAAAATAACTTCTTATACAATTTTAGAGGCAATAAAATGACAGAAAATTCCTAAACCTAAAAATTACGATAGCTGTAGTGGGAGGATTGCTTGAACCCATGAGTTCAAGACTAACCTGGCAACATAGCAAGACCTTATCTCTACATAAAACTTTTTTTTTTTTAACTGGCCAGGTGTAATGGCAAGTGCCTACAGTCCCAGCTGAGGTGGGCGCCCAGGAGGTCAAGGCTACAGTGAGCTCAGATCAAGTCACTGCACTCCAGGCTGGACAACAGAGTGACACCCTGTATCATAAATAAATAAACAAACAAAATCAAAATAATCTGAGAAAATGCTAGAATTGTTATTTGTTTTAAAGCTTAATCATACTTAGGCCATTTATAACACTAAACAGCAATAAAAGAGGAACCACAAGAGGTAACAACATGACAAGCAAAAAGGACTGATAAGGCTAAACATATAACAAGAGTGATGGAAACAATCTACCTGAGAATTTAAAATTTTTCTGGCTAGGTGCGGTGGCTCACGCCTGTAATCCTAGCACTTTGGAAGGCCAAAGTAGGCAGATCGCTTGAGCCCAGGAGTTCGAGACCAGCCTGGGCAACATGGAGAAACCCCATCTATACTAAAAATACACAAATAAGCCAGGCATGGTGACATGTGCTTCTGGTCCCAGCTACTTGAGGGACTGAGGTGAGAGACTGCTTGAGCCCAGCACTGCACACACTATCATGGGCAACAGAGTGAGACCCAGTCTCAAAAAAAAAGAATTGAAAATATTTAACATTTTACTTAAGATATGCATATAGTCCAAACTTACTAAAAAATTCAATAATCAGACTTTCCAGCAATCTATCAGGTCATAGTTTCTACACTATAAATTCTGAGGTTTCATCAATGAACTAATACTTATAATCTTAATCATCTTACAATTAATTATTTTATTCATATATTATGTGTAAAGTTTATTTTTATATTTTTTGCTTTAAAAAATATATACAAAGTATATTTCTCCTTTGGGGACAAAGAATGAGGAGAGCGTCAGGAAATTATCTGGCCAGGTGCAGTGTCATTTACACTTATAATCCCAGCACTTTGGGAGGCCAAAGTAAAAAGACTGCTTGAAGCCAGGAGTTCAAGACCAGCCTGGGCAACATTGCAAGACCTCATCTCTATGCAAGAAAAAAAGAAAAAAAAAATGATCTTTCTGAGGCTCTATCTAAAGGTGGGTATCCTTGGGACACAGCCACCCAGCTTCTATTGTATTACCCAATCTATAGAAAAACAAGCAAAGGTCAAGTGTGGTAGCTCATGCCTGTAATCCCAGCACTTTGGGAAGCTGAGGCAGGTGAACTGCTTGAGCTCAGGAGCTTGAGACCAGCCGGGGCAACATGGCAAAACCCTGTCTCTAGAAAAAAATACAAAAATTAGCAGGGCTAGCTGGGTGCGGTGACTCACACCTGTAATCCCAGAACTTTGGAAGGCTAAGGTGGGCAGATCACCTGAAGTCAGGAGTTTGAGATCAGCCTGGCCAACATGGTGAAACCCCATCTCTTCTAAAATACAAAAATTAGCTAGATGTGGAGGCGGGTACCTGTAATCCCTGCCATTTGGGAGGCAGAGGCAGGAGAATCACTTGAACCCCGGAGGTGGAGGTTGCAGTGAGCCAAGATTGTGCCACTGCACTCCAGCCTGGGTGACAAATCGAAGACTCAAAAAGAAAAAAAAAAATTCATTGCTCAAATTAATACATATGTTAACTGAAGAGGCTATTTGACAGGACACTAACATTTTAAGACCTACTGAAGAGGTTATTTCTTGGATTGTGTTAGGATGCATAGATGGGCATGGCAGTATATTTCTAATTTAGTTAAACAAGATAAACTTAAAAAACAAATATGAAGGTAGAGGAATCCCTATGCCTTAACTGGATGTTTTACGGCCAAATATAAAGGTACTCCTTTGTGCAGTCAAATGAATAAGACAGTGCTAAACTGTTTTAAGAACACCATCTAAGAATTATTTTTTTCCCTTGAGAATTAGACTGAATAACCTCTAAGATGTTTTCCCTTTTGACTCTGGAATTATTTAATGCTAATTTTCAGAATTCTAGAAAGATTAAGAAAAAACGCAAAAGAAATCAACCGTATGTATGGCTTCATATATTTAGATATTTTAAAGACCAAAAATAAATTCAAAGTAACGTGAAGGTTCAATTTAAAAGGAAGAGTAATATTTTTAATTCAAACTCATACGTTTCTAAAAATTTTTCTCTAAAAAATTTTGTTTCAAAGATAGGCATCTTTAATAGTAAGACAGACATTTCTTATTACTAATACATATAATTATCTTTAAATAAGATTTCATTCATGTTTTTCTAGAAATAAAAAAATAGAAGTAAATATTAAAAGTTGAAACAGATGCAGCTGGATGGGCATGGTGCCTCATGTCTGTAATCCCAGCACTTTGGAAAGCTGAGGCAGGAGGGTCACTTGAGCCCAGAAATGCAAGACCAGCCTGGGCAACATGGCAAGACCCTCCTCTCTACAAAAAAATAAAATTAGCCAGGCATGGTGACACACACCTGTGGTCCCACCTACTTGAGAGGCTAAGGTGAACCCAGGTGGTTGAGGCTCCAATGAGTCTTATTGTACCACTGCACTCCAGCCTGGGCAACAGAGCAAGACCGTTTCAAACAAATAATAATAATAATAAAGTAGAAGAAGATCCAGTCGGTCTGGCACAGTGGCTCATGCCTACAGCATTTTGAAAGGGCAAGGAAGGTGAATCACTGAACCCATCTGAGACCAGCCTGGGCAACATGGCAAACCTCTGTCTCTATAATAAATTCAAAAATTGGCGGGCACAGTGGCTCATGCATGTAATCCCAGCTCTTTGGGAGACCAAGGCAGGTGGATCATTTGAGGTCAGGAGTTCGATACCAGCCTGGCCAACGTAATGAAACCCTGTCTCTACTAAAATTACAAAAAATTAGCCAGGCATAGTGGCACACACTTGGGAGGCCGAGGCAGGAGAATCGCTTGAACCCGAGAGGTGAAAGTTGCAGTGAGCCAAGACTGCACCACTGCATTCCAGCCTGGGCAACAAGAGCAAGACTCCACCTCAAAAAAAAAAAAAAAAAAAATAGCCAGGCATGGTAGTCCCTGTTAATCAGGACGCTGAGGTGGGAGGATCGCTTAAGCCCTGGAGGTCAAGGTTTCCATAACTGTGATCACACCACTGCACTCTTGTCTGGGTGACAGAGCCAAGACCCTGTCTCCAAAAAAAAAAAAAGAAAAGAAAAAGAAAAAGAAAGATACAGTTCAATCCCCTATAAAATTAAACCTACAACAACACAAACTTAACATGGATGGCTTATAGTTGAGTACCAACTAATTTCCCTGAAGCAAAAACCTCCAGCTTCAAATTATACATTAACTTCAACCAGGTTAAGAATGGATTCTAGGCTAGAAAATACTTTGAAAATCACAAAGTAAACACACAATAAACCAGAATCAGAGACAGCAGCTTAATATTTATATTAATTCATACCAAATTATGTTTTTCCTGTAAGGCAATTTCTTCTGACATTATTTCTCTGAGTGACACTTTTTTAGTTTGAATATTCCAATGATCCAAAAAAGACAGCATTTCAGGTGCTGCTAAAGTCTTCAGTAACTTTTTGCCTGTTCTCTGAGATGATTTTTGTTCAGGATTATCAAGACCAGTATGTCCAACCAAAGAAGAATCTACAAAGTAGAATAAATACTGTCATATTCTCAACCATAAATGTACAAATTAAACATTATTCACTCTGTTACATTTTACTTCAGAGACTAAGGAACAATATTTCCATTTTCAGTTTGTAAATATAACATAAGTCTAAAATTGTAAACTACATCTTCACATAATTGCAAGTAAGAAATGGTATGTGTTAATGTAGCAATATTTTAAAAGAGCAATGATCTGTGTATAATTTTTAAACTGACTTAATGCTTCCCACTCTTTTTCATATCACATCAACCCCAAAAATGGTGACACGTATATAGGACACTGGTAAATAAAAAACGTTATAGCCAGCTGGAAGTGAGCAACTAGAACAGCTATAGTCAGCTTTGCCCATCCATTCTAAGGACCAAGAAGATGGATTATTTTAGCAAACCTGTAACTCAGTGAAGGTACACAATAAAGACTGGGCAAATGATATTCAAAATAAGGAATTAAAAATTCTAAGAGGTTCGCAATAACAGAATTTTCAAAATAAGGAATTGAAAATTCTAAGAGGTTCACAATAACAGAATTTAATGTGTAACCTTTCAGCTTCTCAGAGGGATATCAACACATTCTGATGTATTCCTCTGCTGTCCTGGAGAGTGAAGAAACAATAGACACTGGCATTTGCACACCATCCTTTGGGCACCTCTCTCCCTACATCAGCTGCAGCGCTTGAGACTACGACATGAACACAGGTCTGGACCAAAGTGGATCCTGAGTTCAAGGTGGAACTCCTTGCCTTGGTCCCAGGGTGGAATGGACAGCAGAGGCATCTGGAGGAACTCATGCACAAAAGGAGGATGTTTACTAACAGGTTTGCCACCCTGCAACAGCCACTGAAGACAACACTATCTAAGAGAAGTATCTGGAATCAAGTATTTTCAAATTGGCAGAATGTACCAAAAAGCAGGCTGGGTTTTGTAATCTAACAATACTGACATCGATAAAAACTTTGAATAGCCAAGTAATAGTTCAATGATGTTCTTGATCAAACACATAAACACTTTATTGCTCTCAAACCAAAAGTTTTCTTTCATGCAGAGCAAAACCTCAAAAGGAAATACTTTGAAAGCATATCCTAGATGTTCCACAGCACTCATGAAAATTAAATATATATTATAGGGGCTTTTTTCCCCTTTATTTTATATCAATATTAAATATATTTAAAGAACTGGCTGGGCGTGGTGGCTCATGCCTCAAATCCCAGCACTTTGGGAGGCCAAGGTGGGTGGATCATCTGAGGTCAGGAGTTCAAGACCAGCCTGACCTATATGGTGAAACCTCGTCTCTACTAAAAATACAAAAATTAGCCAGGCGTGGTGGCATACGTCTGTAATCCCAGCTACTCAGGAGGCTGAGACAGCAGAATTGCTTGAACCCAGAAGGCAGAGGTTGCAGTAGGCTGAGATGGCACCACTGCACTCTAGCCTGGGTGACAGAATGAGACTGTCTCTAAATAAATAAATAGAACTTTTATTTGCCAATCAAAATTTGTGGGTACTGTATTTTGTGAAAGTAATTTAGAAGGAATTAAAATTCAAACACACACACCAAGTTTCAACATTAAAACAAGAACATTAGAAATAAAAATATGTGCTTTACCTTGCATAAGCTTGCCACAAGACACCTCTTCTTGTCTTTGTCGTTCCTAAACACAAAAGCCAGGTAAGAGATTGGCAAACAAGGAGTGAGTTAGTAAACAATACAAGGTTATATTATTTTTCTCTAGAAATCATTTCTCCTTATATAATTATAAACCATTCTTACTAAATCTAAGTAAAACAATAAAGTTAGAAAATAAAAATTATGAAGTATGAATACAGCTACATATTTTTCCACTTATAGAATGGTAAAAATGCTGCAATAAAAAAAAAAAAAAACTTTCTTGTTATGGAGAATGGTCTGAATTTAACCAATCAGCATTGAAGTCTTTAATTGCAGGAATGAAAAACTCACTGTTCATAATTTTTTATCTTAAAAAATAACAGGCCAGGCATACTGGCTCATGCCTATAATCCCAACACTCTGTGAGGCCAAGGCAGGAGGATCGCTTTAAGCCAGGAATTTGAAACCAACCTGGGCAACATAGTGAGACCTCACCTCTATTTAAAAAAAAAAATTAGCTAGGTGTGGTGGCAGGCACCTGGAGCCTGAGGTGGTAGGATTGTGTGCCCAGTAGTTTAAGACTGCAGTGAGCTAGGATGGTGCCGTTGCACTTAACCAGGGAGTAAGACACTGTCTCTAAAATAGAAAAAAAAAAAATCAGCCAGGCACAGTGGCTCACACCTGTAATCCCAGCACTTTGGGAGGCCAAAGTGGGTGGATCACGAGGTCAAGAGATCAAGACCATCCTGGCCAACATGGTGAAACCCCATCTCTACTATACAAAAATTAGCTGGGCATGGTGGTGCATGCCTGTAGTCCCAGCTACTTGGGAGGCTGAGGCAGGAGAATTTCTTGAACCCAGGAGGCGGAGATTGCAGTAAACTGAGATTGTGCCACTGAACTCCAGCCTGGCACCTGGCGACAAACCAAGACTGTTTCAGAAAAAAAAAAAAAAAAAAAAAATCAACAATCACATTGAGATCCACCACTAATTATATAATTTGGCTGTCTAGAAATATCTAAACTATTGAAAAGAGAAAAAAAAAACAGTAGTCTATTAAGTGGTTAAAGTTCATTCTCTTTCAAAGTCAAAATTCAACAGAACTCTTCCATGTCGAAGTCAAAATTCAATAGAACTCCTTCATATTACATGATATATTTTACTGAAATTCAAAGGTTATGAAATGGACAAAAAAGGAGATATTTAAAAGAAGAAGTCTACCAACCATTACAGACTCTTTCCATTTCTCATGAATCACTTTGGCCAGGTTCAGATCTATATGAACCACACAATCTTCAACTGTTAGAGATCCTGTGGGGAAGGGGAAGAAAAGGTAATCATTACTCATTATATATTTGCAGAAAACATACTCAACCACCTCATGCAGAATAAAACTAACTTGTATTATTAATTCCTAACTTATGTTTCTATTTACTAAATCTCTCAAGAGTATTTTTATTTGTTACGTGCCATGTTATTGCCTTCACACTTCTTGACTAGTGCAGTTATACAAAGCTTCATAGTAAATCTATTTTAAGTTATCCTTTTCCATTAGTCTAAATATGTTTACTTTATTCATTTCTATTAGTCAAGACTTTTCAATAAGTGTATTCTAAAAAATTAATCTTGTCTTAAAGGTATCTGGAGTAGCATCAAAGGATTTTAAAAGGTTCATCCCTACAATTAAGTGTGAAGAAAATAATACCAGAGAAAATGTTCAGACTATGCATGGAATAAATACAAACTCCATATAAATATTCTCTATGTCTTCCAAATATATACATATACATATATACACACATAAATACATACATATATATATATATATATATTTTTTTTTTTTTTGAGATGGAATCTCACTGCTTCCCCCAGCCTGGAGTGCAACAGCGCAATCTTGCCTCACTGCAACCTCTGCCTCCCAGGTTCAAGTGATTCTCCTGCCTCAGCCTCCCCAATAGCTGGGATTATAGGCATGTGCCACCAGCCACGGCTAATTTTTGTATTTTGAGTTTCACTGTTGGCCAGGCTGGTCTCAAACTCCTCACCTCAAGTGATCCACCTGCCTCAGCCTCCAAAAGTGCTGAAATTACAGGTGTGAACCAACCCACATAGCCCCAATTATATTTCTTTAAGTCCTCCAGAAACGTGTCAAAAATAAGGCACTATGTGAAGTTAGGCAACATAAAATTACTTTTGCTTTTCAGTTAACATAGAAAATAATTTTACAATCAAATAGAACCCTCTAGCCAGGTATGGTGACATGTGCCTATAATCCCAGCTACTCTGGAAGCTGAGGCAGGAGAATCACTTGAGCTGGGGATGTGAAGGTTGCAGTAAGCTGAGATTGCTGCACTATACTTCAGCCTAGGCAACAGAGTGAAACTCCAACTCAAAAAAAAATAGAACCCTCTATAGTCTAGTCACACAAAGACACACACACGGTCATTTACTTTTTCCTTACCTGAATCAATACCAACAGGACCGAATAATTCATTAAGTTGAAAAGCCAGTTCCGGGGGTAATGCCAATTCCAGACAGTCTATGGTCAGAGATCTGGCCATCACTGCAGTGGGATTCAATATCTCAGCTTTATCTTCCTCACTAACTCCAGTTGATAAACCACTTCCTGCCATTAGAATTTCCTCCATTTCCTGCTCATCTTCATTCATAAATTCTTCTGTGTCTAAAAATTTCACATAATCCTTTAGAAGATTTTCATTTCTCTTTATTTCAAGAGAGTCAGCAAAATAAATTTCTTCATTTAATTCAAGATTTGAAGTACTAGATGCAAAGTTAAAAATATCAGAGAAATCTGAATGAGAATGTTTGTTGTCGCCAATCTCTGTGACTATTAGGTTTTTCTCTGCTTCACTCATCTCTCTAGGGGTAGCAGCTTTTAGAATACCTGGAAAGGACTGCTTACTGCTATATAAAAGTTCTGCCTGGCTGTTAGGAAGTATGTCATTATTATTCTTTAGACCCATAGCAGCACAGGGAAAAATACTTTTCATTGATTCAGGGTTTTCAGGAGTAACAGCTCTCATTTCTGCTTTCTCTGAGTTTCTTCTTTCTGTATCACAAGTAGACTGTAAGTTAGCATTACTAATACCAGTCCCATGGCAAAACTCTAGCATAGGAGAATTAAAATTCTCTAAAGTTCCTCTTTGGCTAATAACTTCTTTCAAATTCAACCCCAGAGAAAAAGGCCCAATTTGTGATCCATCAAACGATTTTTGGAAATTCTCAAATTCTGTATCCTCACATAATTTAGTTTCAGAATCCAACAAAAGGCTTGTGGCCCAAATAATATCTTTATTACACCTCTCATATAAGTCTTTCAGGGCTTCTAATGAAAAGGATCCAAATAGTTTACAAAGAATGTTAAGATTTTCAGATTCATCTGCACTGGTAAGCTCACTTTCTTCAACAAATGTGCTTTTATCATACATTACTCTATATGGAATTGCTACTTGAACGTCTGATTTTGTGTTAATATTGAAAGCTTTTGGCTTAAATCCATCTAATCTTCCTGTTAATACTTTGATAGAATCTGAAATGCTGATTTTATTCTTTTCTATTTTCCATAAAAGAGCAAAATCCTGTGGTTCAGTCTGGGTACACATGCCTACTTCTTTCCCAGCGTCACTCTTAGGCATTCCCTCTTGAAATTCAGCTAACGTTTGTGGTTCTACTACTCCAGAAACAGCTGGTGCACTATTGGTAAAAGTAAGAGGCAATGATGTGTGTTCCCCATGACTCATTTTACTTAGACAAGTCTGACTCTCACAGGTCATTTCACTGGGTAGCATTTCAGAACTTCCTAGATTAGAGCTACCCAACGTCTTTAGTTTTTGAGGGCTTATGCCCCAACAGGCCTCATGTGCTGTATATAAGGATATTTTGTTCATTTTGTCATTTGTTCCAATTTCTAGGTTGGGCTCACTTAAACCAGTCTTTGGCATTCTTGATCTGTGTTCCCTCTGAGCTAAAGAATCAGATGAAGGCCAGTCACCCACGCTGAATGAGTTTTTTTCATTACTTTTATAAGCATCATATTTATAGCTATTGGGTGGCTCTGAAGCATCATCACATCGTGACTTTCTGCCATCCTCTACACTTTCATGTGGAGATCCTCGTTGCTGAACACCATCTATATTCACAGATACACTGTTATCTAATACTTTACGTGACTGAAGGTAATTATACTTTTTGTCACTTTGCACAGATGAAGCTTTTTCCATTTTTCTGTTCCTTTTTGTCCTCTGACCAATAGTCTTATCAACTGGCCAGTCACCAACAAAATTTGATAGCTCATGTCTTGGGAACTTTTCCAAAGCTGATTTGCTTTTTTGTTTCCCACAGGCTTTTTTCTTTACTGTTGCTCTTTCTTCCACTATTTCGCAGGGTAAGGATTTTTCATTGTGAAGAGGTCCAGTATTTGCAAAATCACAGTCTTCTTGATTATTTTCACCACACCAAATACTAGGTGATACTCTCTCTACAGAACTATCTGCGATGGTTTTACTATACTGTTTTACAGCCATCATTTCTATTTGGTCTTCTTCACTTATGTCTGTTGCTTGTAGTTTGCTTTCAGAGTCAGAAAAACACATGTGTGGAGTTTCCAGAATTAAAGCACTTTGAATGCTAGGATTCATATCACTTATTTCTTTTCTTCTTTTGTTTAAATCTGCATTAGAGAGATATGTAACATTCTCAGGTAACATTGTTTCTTTGGTTACATCAAGATTCTTCTCTTCAATTAATTCTAGGTGCTTCGAAGACGAAGATAAAACATTTTCTTCTTTTTCATTGATAATATCTTCTTTGTCTCTTGGGCTGTAAGATTATTTTAAAGAGTATCATGAGAAAGTCTTTTAATGCTGTCATCAATACTACGATTTAAATTAAAGAAGCATTAATTGACAGGGCACTTAACAGTTACTCTGAAAATTTTCGAAATAAAGTACATTAAAATTATGAAAGCTAATTTTCATCTTTCTCTAATATACTATGAACACATTACTTTGCTGTAACCCCATTACCTAGCACAATGCTTGGCATATATGAAGCACTCAAACAGCTTTTTTTTTTTTTTTAAGATGGAGTTTCGCTGTTGTTACCCAGACTGGAGTGCAATGGCACAATCTCAGCTCACCGCAACCTCCGCCTTCTGTGTTCAAGCAATTCTCCTGCCTCAGCCTCCCGAGTAGTTGGGACTACAGGCACGCACCACCATGCCCAGCTAATTTTTGTATTTTTAGTAGAGACAGGGTTTCACTTTTTTGAGCAGGATGGTCTTGATCTCTTGACATCGTGATCCACCCGCCTCGGCCTCCCAAAGTGCTGGGATTATAGGCGTGAGCCATCGCGCCCAGCCTCAAACGCTTTTTGAATTGAATAGTATATATGAGATTTTCAGTTTAGGTGTTAATTATGTATTAAAGTTAAAGCTCTGAATTTGTTCCCAGGAGAGGACACCACTTCCCTGTCTTCTTTCTGACCTTGGTTTTACATAGCTAAGTATATGTAAACTAGGTCTGCCTCTATACTATGTACATGTCATTTGATACAGAGGAAGTTTCATTTACAAAGTCACAAAGAGCCAACCAATGCTATTTGCCCGATTAAGAGAAATCACAGAAAAAGAGAAGAGCTTTCGTTTGAAATGTCATTTGTTAAGATATTTTTAAAGCCATACTTAATGTTAATTTCAGACTCAGAGCACTTGTGCAAATCTTTATATTCTCAACTTCAGTTAATTTTTCCCAATTCGTCAATGCATTTCCCTTTTTTTTTTTTTTTTTAATTTCAGGAGTGCTCAGAGTCCCAACTCTAGCAAGACACCTTCCTAAGTGAAATCATACCTAACACCAAGTTTTCTATGTGTTAAATGATGCTATTCTAAGTCCCTTGCATGTACTAATTCATAATCCTTATAAGATTTTTATGAGCAGAGTGTTATTACTGGCATTTTAGAAAAGAAGAGCTGAAGTACAGAAAGATTTTCTAACTTGTCAAAGATTACAAAGCTTTGGGATTTTTGAACCCAGGAAATACAGCTCAAGAGTCCATGCTCTTAACCACTTTGCAATAGTGTCTCTCAAATAAAAAAGCACTTGTAAAGTTTCTCTCGTCCATTCCCAACTCTTTTTTAACAGAGCCTCTGTATCCCTTACCATCACAATACATGGATAATTCAGACCTCTACATACTATCTGGTTTCTTCTTTGTCAATTAATGCTGTTTTTATTTATTCAATTATTTATGTGTCTTAAATTCTAAACAGGATCAGTGCTACCTAAGATTGCAAACTATCAGAAGGCCATGACTTGTATTATTTGATAAAAGTGTACCGTTAATAATTTTTATAACACTAGTTTGAAAAAGTATTTTCAGTTTTTAAAACTTAAGGCAATTAAGAAGTTATTTCAGTGGATACAAAATAATGGCGAGAGGATAAGGGAAATACTGGATTACCAGCGAGGATTACATAAAGCTGGCAGGAGAATTCATAGCAGAATCATGGACTCACAAAACTCTGAGGACAATAAAAAAACTGTCATATCATCTCTCATATGAACTTGCACTTCTCTTGCTAACTACATGCATCCCACCCCAGGTAAGACTATAACTAGACCCTTATAAATAACAAAAGTCCACTTTTTTTTTTTTTTTGAGTTGGAGTTTCACTCTTGTTGCCCAGGCTGGAGTGTAATGGTGTGATCTTGACTCATTGTAACCTCCGGTCTCCCAGGTTCAAGAGAATTCTCCTGCCTCAGCCTCCTGAGTAGCTGGGATTACAGATGTGCACCACCACAACCAGCTAATTTTGTAGTTTCAGTAGAGACAGGGTTTCTCCATGTTGGTCAGGCTGGTCTCAAACTCCCGACCTCAGGTGAGCCGCCCACCTCAGCCTCCCAAAGTGCTGAGATTACATGAGTGAGCCACAGCAACCAGCCAAGTACACTTTATTTTTAAAGTTAATCAGCAATAATTCCACAAGCTCCAAAATTATACTTTTTAAAAATTATGTTTAAAATTGAATTTTGTACATAAGGCAATGTAACCTACCTAGTACTTCTGTCCTCACAAGAATATGCGCACAACTCAATGCGTTCTATTTTCTCTGGAACCGAAGAACTCATAATTATTGGCACTGAAACAAAACGTTGATAATGTTCCAACATTCTTGATATTTTTTCTTTGCTCACCCCATGAATGTTACGCCTGAAAATTTCAGGATAAAAGGGTTGAAGGAATATTGATATTTAAGTTTTTAAAAATCAGAACATAAGACGAAAAAAAAAAATCAGAACATAGGTCTAGAAAAACAGTAATATATTTCTAATAGATAAGAATATCAAAGCTGCTTTATTGTGGTACAATATACATGATTTGATTCTAATTTTCATTTTATTAAGGATTTCTAAAATTATATACTTTAAGTTCAAACAAAGAAAAAAAATTCCTAGTATGTTCAAATATGAAGTTTGTTGTTTGTGTTTTCACTCATGGTGGCTTTTTAAAAGGTGTTGGTTACAAGCTCACATTTGGTTGAACTTAACATATGAGAGGTGAGGCCTTCACCTGGGGATACTTTCACACAGCACCTAGGTTTGTATCTCCCAGGAGGCCAGATGTTATGCTCTAGCCCCTCAAAGGTTTTGTCTTAATGAAAACATCTCAATTGCAACTCTCTTGTCTTGGGCTGAATTCAAGGCTTTGTGTTTGGATCCCAGGGATAATATTTGCATTTGCCACTTGGGCATATCTGGTTTTCATATTTACCTACCTCAATCTTGTCTGGTTTCAGATCACAGAGAAGCAAAGAGATAGAAAATATGAGAGGTTAAGAGTCATAGGAGCCAGAGCCAAAAGGTCTAGTATACATCTAATCTAAGTCCCAGAAAGAGAAGAGAATGCATGGGACGGAAGCAATGCAAAGAAAAATGCCAAAAATTTTCCAGAACTGATGAAAAACAACAATCCCTTAATTTCAGAAGCCAACAAATGCCAAACAAGATAAAAAAAATAAGAAATCCTAACCAGAAACATAGTACTGAAGTTGTCATTCACCAAAGACAAAGAGATGATATTAAAAGCAACCAGAAATTTTCTTAAATCATTTTAAAACTAGTTATCTACAAAGAAACAATTAGAATAACAGCTGACTTAACAATAATAACATAAGTCAGAAGGGAGCTAAGTGTTATCTTCAACAATAGAAAATAATGTCACTATAGAATATATATATCCAGCAAAAGTACCTTACAAGAAGGAGGGCAATAAAAAGATCTGCAGATTTTAAAAAAAGAATTTGACACCAAGCAGACCCTTACTGTAAAGAAAATTCTCAAAGATGAACATCAGGCAGAAGAAAATTCCCAGATGAAAGGTATACGATGCAAGAAAAAAATGAAGCAGAAAGCAATAACTAGATGAGAAAGTGAAAACAAACACTACCTGTATATTCTGGACAATGACAGCATGTAAATTGAGAGGAAGGCAAGTATCAGAGTTAAAATGTTTTAAAGTCCTCGTATGTGTGAGGAGGAAAGCCAAGAAAATGGTTTGACTTTGGATTTAAAGTCTACATGGTAAAACATAAGGTAACCACTAAAAGAACAAAAATACTATATATGACTTCCAAATTAGTAGAGAAGAATAAAATTTTTTAAAATTTGGAATCAATTTTAAAAATCTAAAATAAGGCATAATAGGAAAAAAAATTTAACTACATAATTTTCTATAATAGAAGATCAATCACAGAAAAGGTGAGATAAACAGAAGGCACAGAATGAGACAGTAAGAAACAAAGTCAATTATATGAATAATCAAAATAACCACAAAAGAACTAAGTTTATCAGTTAAAATCCAAGGCAGAGTGGATTTAGAAAAATCCAGCCATCGTGCTTACAAGAGATACCTTTAATGTAAAAACATTCAAAGTATAAGTATGAAAAAAATAAACAATAAATATTAACTAAAAGGAAGCTGGTATAGGTCTATCAATATTAGACAAATTACACTTTACAACAAAAATCACTACTAAAGACAAAATAAAATTACTAGAAAAGGATAAAGGTTCAATTAATTAGGGTATTATGAAAATCTTAAGCTTGTATACATTTCAAAAAATACCCTCCAAATATATAAAGCAAACACAGGCAGAATTCTAAGGAGAAACCACATGTTCTACATAATAATGGAAGATTTCAACATTCATTTCTCAAATATAGGAGATATGATTAACAATTAATGAGCATGATTTAATGGGGATATTAACACACTGCAATCATATAATTCTTATCAAGTAAATATGAAATGTATAAAAAATCAACACTTAACTAGACCAAAAAAAGTTTTAAATAAAATATGAGTGAATTAGTATCACACAAACTATACAACCTGACCTACTGCAGTTAAGGTGAAAACCAATTTTTATAAAAGATAAAACACCCATCTGTTCAGAAATGTTAAAAGACTATACTAAATAACCCAAGAGTTAAAGAATGAAATTAATCATAATGCAAAATAAAAAATAACTAAATAATAACAAAAATAAAGTATTACATATTAAAATTCTTGAAACAGCTAAAATAATACATAGGGAAATTTTATTTTATTGGGAGACAGAGTCTCACTCTGTTGCCCAGGCTGGAGTGCAATGGTGCCATCACAGCTCACCACAGCCTTCACCTCCAAGGCTACAGTGATCCTGCCATCTCAGCATCTGAGTAGCTGGGACCAGAGGCATACACCACCACACCCAGCTAATTTTTTTATTTTTTGTAAAGTCAGGGTCCCGCTCTGTTGCCCAGGCTCAAGAAATCTTCCTGCCTCAGCCTCCCAAAGTACTGGGATCACAGGCATGAGCCACCACACCTGGCATACACATAGGGAAATTTTAACATCAAATGCTCATATTAGAAAATGACCTAAACATTCAAGAAGTTTAAAAAACAAGAGAATAAAAATAAGCAAAATTGATTTTTTAAAGCAGTAAAAGTAGAATGAGAAGCAGAAATTAATTAAACATTTAAAAACTTACAATGGCGTTCAAATAAAAACTGAGACTTGTTTATCTGAAAAGGCTAATTAAAAAATTTGATTTCTGATGAAAATCATAAAGAAAAAAGAAAGAAGATAACAAATATACTAAGATTGCAAGAAGGAACTCAACTGCTAACACAGTAGATATGTAAACAGTAAGAGACTACTATAATTGCTTTAATAAAGTCTTAATAAATTTGAAAACGTTGCTGTAATGAAAAAATTCTAACTAAACATTCTCACAAAGAAAACATCTAATCCAAAGAATTTTGTAAGCAAATTCTAACATTCAAACTTAGATAAACCTAGAAAAGAGGAAAAGAGGAGACACTTCCCAATTAATTTTATGATCTTAAAACTATGATATCAAAGTCAGGCAAGAGAAATCAAGGAATAAAACACTGTAGGTCAATCTCATTTATTTGTAAAAAGATGCAAAAATCCTAAATGAAATATGAGAAAACCAAACTCAGTAATCCATTAAAAGGAAATAAGTAGTGACACATTACAACACGGATGAACCTTAAAAACATTGTGCTAAGGTGAAAAGATGCCAGACACAAACAGCCACATATTATATGTTCCATTTATACACAATATATGCAAGAGGAAAACCCATAAATACAGAACACACAATAGTGGTTGCCAAGAGGAGGAGGGAACTGGAGTAACTGCTTGTAGGTATAGGGTTTCTTTGGAGGAAATGGAAATGCTGATGATCACGTAACACTGTGAATATAGTAAAATTAGGTTGTCCTTTAGTTAGTATTAAAATTAGTTTAAGTTGCCAAGAAAAAAAAATAGACTAACCAAAATGAAGTTAGGGCTATTTCTATGGGAATACAGAACACAAAGCAAAACATGCTGTATGGCCGTGCCTTGACTAACATTTTATTCAAGTCAAGCAACTAAATAAAGAAAAAAGTATAGCCTTAGGGGAAGGCAGGCAGAGAGTGAGGTGTCTGTACAGCTGGATATTTGCTACCTTTTCCGTCTCTACATTCGTACTGCCTTCCAGTGCTCTAAGTCACTAAGCAGCTACAACAATCTGCCCCTACCAGTAGCACATGGTTCAGGTGTGCCAAATCCTAGGGTCTGTTCTAGTTCCAGATATTAACATATGATTCAAAGTAATAAAGTACAGGCTGTGGCTCACACCTGTGGTCCCAGCACTTTGGGGGCAGAGGTAGAGGCAGGAGGATCACTTGAGGCCAGGAGTTTAAGACCAGCCTGGGTAACATGGCGAAACCCTGTCTCTATGTTTTAAAAAGTAACTAAATAAAAACTCAAAAAAAGGTAATGAGGTACAGAATATATAAGACAAGTGAAATTTTTCTGTTAATTAACTCAATTTTAGAAACACAAAGAAATGCTTCATAAAACTGGACAACAAGCAGTAAGCAATATAAAATCTATTCTCAATTTTTAAGTTACAATCTAATCAATTCATTCATCATTTACAAGGGGAAAAATCTAGATGGAACTTCTCTGTCTGCCATTATAAGAAAAGCATGTTAGATAGCCTCAAAGTTTTACCTTGCAAGTTCCTTTGGTTTAAACTTCCACCATGTGTCTGGTTCCCGAAAAAGGACTTTATATTTATGTTTCTGAGACTACATACAAAAAAGACAAAAACAATTTAAAATAGATATTTCCAAGAAACTAAAATTATTGTTTCCAAACTTATGTTAAACGTAAAAGATTATCTAATCTTCATGAGTGTGTTAAACTGGCAAAATATACAATCTCTTTAACCCAGCAATTAACTTCTAGAAATTTATGCTACTGATACTTATATAAGAGCATTTATTTATATAATACATATATTAGATATATGCCAGGATAGCCAGTTCTCCACTATTTGTAACAGCAAAAGAATATAAATAACTATGTGGCTATTAATATAAAACTGACAAAATAAGTGAAGGTATAACCACAAGATGAAAATACTACATAGTAATTTTTTTAATTCTACATGTGTTAATAACAGAATGTTCTTAAAAAATGTTAAGAAAGGAAGATAAGGAATTTTTAGCCAGGCATGGTGACTCACACCTGTAATCCCAACAGTTTGGGAGGCTAAGGTGGGTGGATCACTGGAGGTAAGGAGATCGAGACCAGCAAGACCAGCATAGCGAAACCCTGTCTCCACTAAAAATACAAAAATTAGCCAAACATGGTGGCACATGCCTATAGTCCCAGCAACTCAGGAGGCTGAGGCAGGATTATTGCTTGAACCCAAGAGGTTGAGGTTGCAGTGAGCTGAGATTGCACCACTGCACTCCAGCCTGGGTAACAAGAGCGAAACTCCGTCTCAAAAAAAAAATTTATTTACACATTGGTACATGCATAGTAGGCTTCTGAAAAGATTCTCAAAAATACCACTAAAAGCATTTTCCTCTAGGGAAAAGAACTTCTGGCACTCTTTTTTATATTTTGGGTATTTATTATACTCATGTATAATTTTTTTTTTTTTTTTTTTTGGACACAGAGTTTTGCTCTTGTCGCCCAGGCTGGAGTGCAATGGTGCAATCTCAGCTCATTGCAACCACTGCCTCCTGCATTCCAAAGATTCTCCTACCTCAACGTCCCAAGTAGTGAGGATTACAGGAACCCACCACCATGCCCAGCTATTTTTGTTTTTTAGTAGAGATGACATTTCGCCATTTTAGCCAGGCCGGTCTCCAACTCCTGACCTCAGGTGGTCTGCCAGCCTTGGCCTCCCCAAGTGCTGGGATTACACACATGAGCCACCAGGCCCGGGCAGTAACAGCTCATATTTTTCAAAGTTCTACTTTGGCTATAATATAACAGGCAAACCCTATGCTTGGGCAATAAAGCCATACCCTCTCTTCTACTCCAGCATAAGTGAGTACCTAAACTCAGCTTTTTAATAAATTACAGATGGTTAACTTTCTGAAAGAGGTGACATCAAAGCTGGGCAAAAAAGAACAAGCAGGGAAAGAGGATTAGGTATAGGTTAGGTAAAGTAAGAGGGTTTAGATATTAAAAGAAATCTGGGCCGGACGCGGTAGCTCAAGCCTGTAATCCCAGTACTTTGGGATCACGAGGTCAAGAGATCGAGACCATCCTGGTCAACATGGTGAAACCCCGTCTCTACTAAAAATACAAAAATTTAGCTGGGCATAGTGGCGCGTGCCTATAAACCCAGCTACTCAGGAGGCTGAGGCAGGAGAACTGCCTGAACCCAGGAGGCGGAGGTTGCAGTGAGCCGAGATCGCGCCATTGCACTCCAGCCTGGGTAACAAGAACAAAACTCAGTCTCAAATAAAAAAAAAAAAAAAAAAAAAGAAATCTTGCAAATTCAGAGAAAACAGCTGAGTTTACAAAATGCTGAATTTTGCAGAATAGCAAAATTTCAAAAGAAATTTGGGAAAAGCAAACCAACAAATTTTGATTCTGCCAAGTACGAGGAAAAGGAAATAAATATACATAACATATGTACAAATAAAAAAATAAAATTATAATTTAGTACCACTACCTTTTCATAAAAGACCGCAAAAAGCAAACAATCTTAGAGTTCAAAAACTGAATTTCAGAATTTAAAAATTAAATATATTTACCTTTATGGAAAAACTCATCTAAATGTCCTATTTTCCTCATCTTGCTGAAGACCAAAAAAAGCTCAGGTATAGACTATCCAAGATTCTGAGATTCTTCAGCGCTTGAGATTCATTTTTATAACTAATGATCCCCAATTATTTCATACAAACTTATTATGGTAACTTATGGTACTAACCAAAGCAACATATGGTTTCATTTCCCAAGCCTGTAGGTTTGTATTATCTATAATTATAGGAGATAGCTTCTTCTCAAATGCTTCTTTTGCTGAAAAACACAACAGAAAATTAAAAATCATTTTTAAATAACAATACTAAATATTATGATTCTCAAAAAACCTAATCTTTTTATAAGTGAAAAATACAGATGTGCTAATTTTACTCACTGTTCAACTTCTAAATATCCCTTTGGGGACAAAAAATTAAGTATGGGCCATGCATAGTGGCTCACACCTGTAATCCCAGCACTTTAGAGACCAAGGCAGGTGGATCATAAGATCAGGAGATTGAGACCATCCTGGTCAACATGGTGAAACCCCATCTCTACTAAAAATACCAAAATTAACTGAGCATAGTGGTGCACACCTGTAGTCTCAGCTACTCAGGAGGCTGAGTCAGGAGAATCGCTTGAACCAGGGAGGCAGAGGTTGTAGTGAGCCGAGATCACGCCACTGCACTCCAGCCTGGCGACAGAGTTAGACTCTGACCAAAAAAAAACAAGGCCAGGCACAGTGGCTCACATCTGTAATCCCAGCACTTTTGGAGGCTGAGACAGATGGATCACAAGGTGAGGAGTTTGAGACCAGCCTGGCCAACACAGTGAAACCCCGTCTCTACTAAAAATAGAAAAATTAGCTGGATGTGGTGGCAGGCACATGCCTGTAGTCCCAGCTACGCAGGAGGCTGAGGCAGGAGAATCACTTGAACCCAAGAGGTAGAGATCACAGTGAGCCAAGACCACATCACCACACTCCAGCCCAGGTGACAGAGTGAGACTCTCTAAAAAAAAAAAAAAAAAAAAAAAAAAACACACATTAAGACTGTCAAGCAACAGAGAAAGAACTTGAGTAGAAAAATTAAAATCAAACTATAGTCTAGAGCTTAGTTAATAATAATAAACTGATTTCTTAGTTTTGGCAAATGTATCCTAGTTATGTAAGATGTTAACATGAAGGATAAATGATTGAAGGGTATACAGAGGCTCTCCATAGTATCTCTGCAACTTTTCCATAAATCTAAAATCATTCAAAAATAAAGTTTAAAAACAAACACAAATGGACAAATATAAACACACACAAGAGATGATGATTTAAAATAAACATTTTAATACACTGTTGCACAAGAGATTTTCTTATAAAATTACCTTTTTTCCAAAGGAATTAGACCATATAGGAAATTAATGACACAGCACAACAAGTAAGTCTTGTAAGTAATTTATTTGGAAGTTTTCAAAGTTCTGCCCAGTCTCTAACAACTTACGAATGAAGAAAAAAAGAACCAATTTAAAAATGGGCAAAGGAGGCTGGGCACAGTAGTTCATACCTATGATCCCAGCACTTTGGGAGGCTGAGGCAGGTGGAAAATTTGAGGTCAGGAGTTTGAGACCAACCTGGCCAACATAGTGAAACCCCATCTCTACCAAAAATAAAAAATTAGCCAGGCGTGGTATCACACATCTGTAATCCCAACTATTCAGGCAGCTGAGGCCCAAGAATCGCTTGAACCTAGGAGGCAGAGGTTGCAATTAGCCAAGATTGTGCCACTGCACTCCAGCCTGAGTGACAGAACAAGTATGAATAGACGTTTCTCCAGAGAAGATATACAAATGGACAATAAACACAAAAAGATGTTCCACATCATTAACCATCAGAGAAGCCACAATGAGATACCACTTCACATCTACCAGAATAGCAATAATCAAAGAAACAGACAATAACAAGTGTTGGTGAGGAAGTGGAAAAGTTGAAATCCTCATAAATTACTAGAGGAAACAAAAAAAAGGTGTGATTGCTTTGGCAAACAGTATGGCAGTTCCTAAAAAGGTTGTACATAGACATCTGTGTTTACAGCAGCATTGTTCATAACAGCCAAAAAGTGAAAACGACTCAAATGTCTATTAACTGATGAATAGATTAATAAAATGTGAAATATCCAGAAAATGGAATATTATTTATCCATAAAAATAAATGAAATACATGCTACAACATGGATGAAGCTTGAAACCATTATGCTAATTCAAAGAGGCCAATCACAAAAGTCCACATGTTGTAGGAAATGTCCAGAATAGGCAAATTATCTATAGGGACAAAACGAACTGGGGAGAAATAAAGAGTGACTGCTAATAGGTACAGAATCTTTCTGAGATGATAAAAATGTTTTAAAATTTAGTGTGTTCTAAAAGTTGCAGCAAAGCCAAGTTAAATTGAGTGTGTTGACACATGCACACCCTGAATATTAAGTTCTAAAAACCACTGAATTGTACTATTTAAATGGGTGATTTGCATGGCACATGAGTTTTGTCTTAACAGTTTTAAAATGAATTCTGTCTATTAACATATATTACTGTTGCTGTTATAAGGGCATGCTGAACCATACTAACATTGTTTTTGTTTTTGTTTTTGAGACAGAGTCTCTCTCTGTCACTCAGGATTGGAGTGCAGTGATAGGATCTTGGCTCACTGCAACCTCCACCTCCCAGGTTCAAGCGATTCTCCTGCCTCAGCCTCCCAAGTAGCTGGGATTACAGGAGTGTACTACCATGCCCAATTACTTCTTTCATTTTTATTACAGATGGGGTTATGCCACGTTGGCCAGGCTGGTCTCGAACTCCTGACCTCAGGTGATCCACCTGCCTCGGCCTCCCAAAGTGCTGGGATTACAGATATGAGCCACCACGCCTGGCCAATGCTTACACTTTTTATCTTCATTTAACTTTCACAACAATCCTGGGAGTTAAGCATTATTATTCCCTTTTACAAAGGAGGCACTGGGCCTTGGAAAGTATAAATAACTTGCACAAGATTGTATAGCTAGTAACTGGTGAATTCAAGGGTGAGCTTCATGACCAAATCATACCTCCTTTGGTTTTAGGTCTGTTGGTATTTTCATATTCCTTAATTCTTACTTTAATCTTTAGTTCAAGAAAGAATATAAAAAAATTAAGAATGTCTGAAGATTGCAAAGCCAAGAAGCACCTTTACAGTACACTTATATAAAAGACTGAGCACTGGGTGCAGTGGCTCACGCCTGTAATCCAGGCACTTTGGGAGGCTGAAGTGGGTGGATCACGAAGTCGAGAGATTGAGACCATCCTGGCTAACACGGTGAAACCCCGTCTCTACTAAAAATACAAAAATTAGCTAGGCATGGTGGCACATGCCTGTAGTCCCAGCTACTAGGGAGGCTGAGGCAGGAGAATCGCTTGAACCTGGGAGGCAGAGGTTGCAATAAGCCGAGATCTTGCCCCTGCACTCTAGCCTGGCAATGGAGCGAGACTCCATCTGGAAAATTTTTTAAAAAAAGAAAAAAAAACTGAGGAAAATATAGTTCCTATATCTTGGTAAGATTCTCCATAGGGGTGGGTGCAGTCGCTCACACCTATAATCCCAGCACTTTGGGAGGCCAAGGCAGGCAGATCACCTGAGGTCGGGAGTTCAAGACCAGCCTGACCACCAAGATTACATGACTGCACTACAGCCTGGGCACAGAGAGAGACTCTCTCTCAGAAAAGGAAAAAAAAAAAAATACTAAGCGAATTTAGCTGAGCACAATGGCTCACTTCTGTAAATTCAGAACTTGGTGAGGCCGAGACAGGCAGATTGCTTGAGCCCAGGAGTTCAAGACCAGCCTGGACAACAAAGCGAGATCCCATCTCTACAAAAAATACAAAAATTAGCCAGGCATGGTGGCACACATCTGTGGTCCCAGCTACTCAGGGGGCTATGGTGGAAGGATTACCTGGACCCAGAAGTCGAGGCTGCAGTGAGCCAAGATCACCCCACTGTACTCTAGCCTATGCAACAGGGTGAAACTTTGTCTCGAAAAACAAAAACAAACATACAAACAAATACTAAGTGAATTTTTTCTTTATACCATGCATAAAATTACTCAGAATCCCATTATCTGTTCTTACCACGATTCTGGTTCCATTCATGTGCTTCTCCTAAGTACTTTATATCAAACTGGTACTGTCCATTTATATAAAAATAATCATCAGTACTAAGAATGACTCCACTTGGATTATCCTCTTGCAAAGTCCTGTGAAAGATAAATGAAATAATTTTCATTACCTTTTCTTCTAAATTTTCTCTCCTAAGTTTTCCAAAGTCATAAACCAAATAAATTACTCAAGTACTATCGTTTTGCGGATCACCTAAGGCCAGGAGTTCAAGACCAGCCTGGCCAACCTGGTGAAACCCCATCTCTACTAAAAATACAAAAATTAGCCAGTTGTGGTGGCATGTACCTATAGTCCCAGCTACTAGGGAGGCTGAGGCATGAGAATTGCTAGAACCTGGGAAGCAGAGCTTGCAGTGAGCTGATATTGTGCCACTGTACTTCAGCCTGGGCGACAGAGTGAGACTCTTGTCTCAGAAAAAATAAATAAAACAGTAAAAATCAGTCTGGGAAACATATCGAGAACCCATCTACACAAAAAACACATAACTTAGCCATGTGTGGTAGTGTGCACCTACAGTCCAGCTACTTGGGAAGCTAAGGTGGGAGGATCACTTGTGTTCAGGAGGTTTAGGTTACACTGAGCCAAGATTGCACCACTGCACTCTAGCCTGGGTGACAGAGTGAGACCTTCCCTCAAAAAGAAAAAAAAATTAAATACAAATAGATAAATAAAAAAAGTAAACATACTGTAGTATTCAAACAAGTCACACTGAAAATACTCTAAGCAGAAGTTTAATTCCCCAAAAATCTGATCTAAGCTAGGTCTATTTTGCTTTATATAAATCATTATTCAGAAACTTGTTTTTAATGTTATGAAGACACTTTATCCTTAACTATAAAATCTTTAAAGGTTTGAAGATTAACAAATTTTTAATTACCCTTTTCTGAAAATATATGCCCATTTCTGTAGCATCTATTAAGTGCCAAACACCGTTTTAAGCACTGAGCATGCATCAATGAACAAATGAACAAAAAAAGACAAAAATGCTTACACTCATGGAGCTTACATGCTAGTGAATGCTCATTTGATCATAATTCCTATGTTTATTCTCTTCTTTTTTTAGCTTTCCCTTCTCTGACACTTCTTTTTTACCATTAAACATCTATATATCTCAGCTATCTTTAAAAATTCTAACTAGGCTGGGTATGGTAGCTCATGCCTGTAATCCCAGCACTTTGGATGGCCGAGGTGGGAGGACTGCTTAAGCCCAAGATTTTGAGACCAGCCTGGGCAAGATGGCAAGACTCTGTCTCTACAAAAAATTTTTAAATGAGCTGGGTGTGGTGGCCCATACCTGTAGTCCCAGCTACTCGGGAGGCCAAGGCAGGAAGATTGCCTGAGCCTAGGAATTCAAGGTAACAATGAGCTATGATCATGCCACTGCACTCACCCTGGGTGACAAAGCAAGATCCTGTCTCTTAAAAAAGAAAACAAAAAAGTTTGAGCCCAGCCTGGCAAACACAGTGAAACCCCATGTTTACTAAAAATATAAAAATTAGCTGGGCATGGCAGCAGGCACCTATAATTCGAACTACTCAGGAGACTGAGACTAGAGAATCTCATGAATCTGGGGAGGAGAGGTTGCAATGAGCCAAGATCGCACAATTGCACAACAGCCTAAGCAACAGAGTGAGACTCTGTCAAAATTTAAAAAAAAAAAAAAAAATTGTAACTACACTTTGGGACCCTTTTCAACTACTACCCAACTTCTCTCCTTCCCTTAACTCCTTCATCACAGCTTGCTAAACCCTTTTTCTTTTACCCTCACAGGACAACAAAATTGGTTCTCAGGTACCCATTCATGACCTTATTTCCAATAAATTCAAAAGCATTTTTGCATCCATCGTTTTCCTTGGGTTTGAATACTGAACCATTCTCTCCAAGACAACCCAGATTCTATGTCTGAATACTATCCCAGTTATTTCTCTCTCTTCATTCAAAAAATATTAGTTTCTACCTTGTGACAAGCACATTTTTCTTTACCCACATTCTAACTGTAGCTGCCTCTGATTCTAAAAAACCCTGAAACCTAGTTCTTCGAATTTGTCTCACAGCTCAACTGCCTTCTAAGGTTCCACCTTTCAGTCCAATGTCTTTCTTTTTTTTTTGAGACGGAGTTTCGCTCTTGTTGCCCAGGCTGCAGTGCAATGGCGCGATCTCGGCTCACCGAAACCTCTGCCTCCTGGGTTCAGGCAATTCTCCTGCCTCAGCCTCCTGAGTAGCTGGGATTACAGGCACGCGCCACCATGCCCAGCTAATTTTTTGTATTTTTAGTAGAGATGGGGTTTCACCCCATCTTGACCATGTTGACCAGGATGGTCTTGATTTCTTGACCTCGTGATCCACCCGCCTTGGCCTCCCAAAGTGCTGGGATTACAGGCATGAGCCACCGCGCCCGGCCCCAGTCCAATGTCTTTCATGAAACATACTGCCATGACCAACTGTAACATTTACAATATTAAATTGTTTTATTATTAAGTCAGTTAGAAAAGCCTACATGTCTACTGAAAAATATACCTATTAGTGTTATCAGAATATGTGGAAATTTACTAGCAGATAGACCCAGACACAGAAAAGATATGCAAAAAAAACTAAAAATAAGTTAATAAAGGACATTCTCCAGTTATCTATGCATAGTCAATAAGACTAGAATAGATATATCCAGGATCAAATAGGAGACCCAACTAAGAATATCAGAAGGCAAACAGTTAAAATTTGGAAGAAGAAAAAAAAAAGAACTAGCAAATAAAACAGATTAGGTATAAACCTTCTGGAATTTAAAAGTTAAGCAGGGATGGAGAGGGACTATGAAAATAGTACTCTTTAAGGAATGCCACTGAAACCATAAAAAAACTGCCTCTAACGCTGACTCCTGTCTCCCAGATCAAGGCACTCACAGCCTACCTTAACTACAGAAGGAATAAAAGTATACATATGAGATAAAATAACTGATGGCACTTTATTTTGGAACAGAAAAGTCCCTGAAAACTTGAAGTTCTCTGACTACCAGTCGTCATCCTATACTCTCTTCCTTCAAATCACACATTTCTAAAAGTATTATTTAACAACATTCTATAATCTTGAATTTCCAACTACCAGTAGAATTCATGTATTTAAGACTTCCAATCCATGAAATCAAGATCAATTATATCTCTTTTACTCTACGATTAAAGCTGAACTCATCTTTCTCCCACTCAAATTAGATCTCTTCCACTGCTTCAATAGCTCACAATCTTGGAATCATCTTTAATTTTTTCTTCTGTCTTTCAAAGAGATATTTCAAGATGAAGGAATTCAATTTAAAAAAAAAAACTTCCAGAGAAAATAGTGTTATTAGCTACACAGAATTAGAAAAAATTGAGTAAAAAGAAAACATTTTAGGGGTTACTAAAGATCTCTACTAAGAAAGCATTTTGCATATTTAGTTACACTTGTGTTCAAATTCAGACATTATATTATTTTTTTAAAACCCAATTAAACCTCATACCTTGCCAAAAAAGATTTTCCAGATCCCGGAAGCCCTCTGAGAAGAACAAGAACTAGTCCAACATAAGATGTCTTCTTTCTTACAACCTGAGAAACTGGGGTTTCTTGTACTTGATAAGGGCTTGTTCCATCTTTATTTCTCCATACTTTTGTTGGGGAAGTGTGAGAAATAACTGAGGGTGGAAACGTATAGTTGACAGATCTCCAATGTGCAGCTGTGGTTACAACAGGAGCTACAAAGCCATGGTTTCCTTGGAAGAGGTCAAACGCAGGAATCATTGGATTCCACATCGGTGGAGGTGGAGGAGGAGGCAACAATAAGGGGAGAGGAGCAAGTACTGGGCAGTAACTTACATCTTTCCCCTTAGTTGGCAGTTCAGGATGTTTGTGTGGCTTGAAGTTGAACCCTTCGGAAGGTAGAAACATATCAGAGACTGGAGTAGATTTCTGATCCCCACCCATACCTGGTAAATCAAGCCCTGGGGGGTTTAGAGAAGCCTGAGGTTCACTGGCATCCAAATCTACAGGGGCTCGAGAGAACAGAGCCTCAACACACTCAGAGTCTAAAAGTTCTTTTTGTTTTTGATTGAGACTGCTACTGTTCATGATGGAGTCACTTGTTACATTTAAAGAACTACTAAGAAGAGAATCTTCTGGGTGGTTACCTTCCAAAGCCAATGTGTTATCCTTTATAAAACATCTGGACTCATTCAAAACTGAATGTGAAGGTAATGGATTTAAACTTAATGTAGAGGCAGAATTCTCTAAATTTTTACTGTTTAAATTCATATTTTGTGTAGAAAAAATAGGAGTCATATTACCGGAATCAGAATTTACAAACTCACTCAGGTGATTAAAACTATTAACATCTTGAGAAGGCAAAAGTGAGTATACTTGGTCATCAGGAGAGTTCAATTTCTCAAAAGCATTCTGTATTAAGGAATCCAGGTCTTCAGTTAGCTGCATGTCCAAAAATGAATCCATTTTTGAATCTTCACTCTCTTCTTCAGGACGTTTTTCCATTATTTCACTTTCTGCTGCCCCTGCTTGGTTCTCAGAAGCAACGAAACTTTGTAAAGATGATTCTTCTGTCTTGGTATCAGTGGCAGATAATTCTAATAGACAATCCATAGCATTTTCAACTGTACAACAACAAGAACAATAACAACAACAAAAATATAGACAGAGAAAACAGTTTTAATAATTTTATTAAAATCCAACTAAAATTACACTGGACTTTGCATTGAACAGAATATAAATGTATAATACTCAAGTTATTTTTAAAAAATTAATATTTTACTAACATACCAAAGTCTGTAGCGGCAAAAAGTCTGAATGATGGAGTCATGCAATCCTGTTCTTTCAGGAAAATAGTAATAAACCAAGCTAATAAAGTATCATCAAATAAATATTATTTGCTGAATGTATTGAATAAGTATATAAACATAAATATCTGTAATTAGCTGTATCAGGCTTATTCATAAAAGTCCTAAAGTTTGTTGATTAGTTTAACAAATACTTACCTATTGCATGTACTTTTAAATGTTAAGTATTTTATGTATTCTCTTAGTAAATCTAATATATTTACATTATCCACACTATGAATTTCACTTAATACAAAGAATATTTATGAGTATGTAATGCATATCAGAAATATTTTGTAAAAAAAAAATCTTTAATATACTCAAAGAATTTTGCAGTCTAATAGAGATTAAAAACAATTATATTAGACAATTACATTGTAATATAATACAGATTAAGTAATGCACACTTTTGGCCAGGCGTGGTGACTCATGCCTGTAATCTCAGCACTTTGAGAGGCCAAGGCAGGTGGATCACCTGAGATCCGGGCTTAAGAGACCAGCCTAGCCAACATGGTGAAACCCTGTCTCTACTAAAAATACAAAAATTAGCCGAGTATAATGGCGGTGCATGCTTGTAATCCCAGGTACTTAGGAGGCTGAGGTGGGAGAATCTCTTGAACCTGGGAGGCAGAGGTTGTAGTGGGCAGAGAACGTGCCACTGCACTCCAGCCTGAGCGAGAGAGTGAGACTCCCTCTCAAAAAAAAAAAAAATTAAAAAAATAAATAATGCACATTTCTGATAATGAACAAATGCCACAGAAGCATAAAGAATAAGAAAATATTTCATATAAGGTGATATATGAACTGGAACTTGAAGATTAAAAAGTAACTTGCCAGAGAAAAAAGGGTAAACCCAGTCTTGGCTCTCCCTAGAAGGAGATTGATTGGGTGAAATTGGGAAGAGTCCTGTATGTCATGCTAAGAAATATTAATTTTATTTTCTAAGGAATTTGAAGGAAACTACCAGTCAAAGCATTTGAGCTAGAAGTTTTATACACATCACCTCACTGACTCTTCAAATACTACCATGTGGTATATTATTCCTAACAGATGAAGAAATGAAGTTAAAAAGTACATTAACTTCGTCCAAGTCACATAGTTAAGTGACAGAGCCAGTACTGGTGTGTCTGACTCCAATGCTGAGCTCTTTCTGTTATAACACAAATAGGGAGCCACTATAAATTTTAAGGCCAGGTGTGGTAGCACATGCCTATAATCCTAACATTTTGGGAGGCTGAGGTGCGTAGATCACTTGAGCCCAAGAGTTCAAGACCAGCCTGTGCAATATGGAAAAACCCTGTCTCTACAAAAATTAGCCTGTGTGGTAGTATGTGTGTATAGTCCCAGCCAAAAGGGAGGCTAAGGTAGGAGGATCACTTCATCCCAGGAGGTCAAGGCTACTTGAATGAAATGATTACTGCACTCCATCCTGGGCAACTGAATGAGGCCCTGTCCCCCAAAAAAGAAAAGAAAACAAACAAAAAAAGAATTTAAAGCATTTGAAGTTGGAGGGAGGGGTTGTATAGTTTGTGTTTTGTCTTGCTGTTTTAAGAAAGATGAGTCTGAAAACAGCACAGCAGAGTAGGTAACAGCTCTAGTCTGGAGTCAGAACACCAACATTTAAATCTCTACTGCTGGCTATGACACTTTCAACAAGTTAACTTCCCTAAACCTCAATTTTCTCATTTGTAATATGGGGATAATAAAAGCACCTACCTCATAGGTTGTTGTGGGGATTAAATGAGATAATCCATGAAAAAGTGCTGTGTACAAGAACTGGCACCTAGTAAGCACCCAATTAATGTTCCCTTAAGAAGAAAAACAAAGAGGGATTGGAGGGGGCAAGCCTCGCAGAGATCAATTAGGAGATCATAGCAATACTACAAAGGACAGAAACCCCAAAAATGGAAAAAAACAAAAGGAGGGGAAGGAGGGATGGGGAGGGGAAAAAAAGGGACCAAACATAAGGAGTATTTCTATGAAGAAAATCTACATGACAGTAAAACCAGAAAAGATCAACTAAAAACTTAATGTATATGTAATGAAAAATCATACCAAGTAAATTAAAGATCAAGATGGATAAGCAGTTATCACATCAAAAAAAAAGCCCTTATACAGATTATTGAAAAAAATTAAAATTATGGTATAAAAATTTTTTCAATAAATGAACAATTTACACAAGAATACAAGAATAAACAATCACGTATAAAAATGTTCAACATTCCTCTTTATTTAAAAAAACACAAATTAAGAAAAGATGCAATTTTATTCCTATTAAAATATTAAAACATGAGCCAGGTGCAGTGGCTCACGCCTGTAATCCTAACACTTTGGGAGGCCGAGGCAGGTGGCTCACCTAAGGTTAAGAGTTTGAGACCAGCCTGGCCAACATGATGAAACCCCATCTCTACTAAAAATACAAAGAACAAATTAGCCAGGCATGGTGGCAGATGCCTGTAATCTCAGCTACTCGGAAGCCTTAGGCAGGATAATCACTTGAACCCAGGAGGGGGAGGTTATAGTGAGCCAAGGTCGCACCACTGCACTCCAGCCTGGGCAACAAAAGCGAAACTCCGTCTCAAAAAAACAAAAGTCTTAAAACCCTACTACACAATGTTGAAAAGGCTGAGGTAAAACCACTACACTTATGCAATGCTGGTGGAATTACAAATAGGCACACCTCATTGGTAGGCAATTCAGCAGTACGCATCCAAGAGCTAAAGCAGTTCTTACCCTGTGACGCAAGAAAATAAAACTTTGGAACTAAGAAGAAAAGCCAAAAGAAAGAAAAATATGTGTTTACCAAGATGTTCTCTGCAATATTAATTATTCACAAAAAACATAGATATAATTAAACTACAGCACAACAACTCAGTAGAATGTTAGAAACCCATTAAAAATAATTGCAGCAACATGGAAAAAAAATGCTTACGTTAAGTTAAAAACACATAATACAAAATTCCTCTACTCAAATATCAAATGCTTATGAACAAGGTCTATAGAAGATTCTGGAAAACAAAAATAAGTTTTTTTGTTATGGTATAGGGTGAAGTGAATTTCTTGTAATTCCTCATTGCTGTATTAGTTTATATGCAACAATTAAATTTTAAACAAATCAAAATTAGGAAATGTTGGCTTAATACCCCAAGCAATACCTGCTTAAAAAAAAAAAAAGGAAATGTTGAAGTAACTTACAAAACTCTATATACTATCATTTCTGAGAATCATGCACTGCTGACAACTGGTTTTCTGCATACATAACTGGATAAGATATGCTCACATCACAAACTACATGATGACTGAAACTGGAAGTTTATAACACATTAACAAAACTTCCCAAATCCAGAATAATTTTATCTTATACTAATCATGGCCAGTAACAATACTAGGTATCAACATTTAATTTACTCATCTAGTCAACTTATATAAATGCCCTTCTGTCTATAAACATACTTCTAAACAATTTATGACAAGTTATTAACAGCCTACCATACTGAAGACTTTACCAAGAACAAAAAAATAAAACAAAACTCAATTCTCACCAAATAACAGGTGCATACTGTTACTTTTCTCACTAACAGAGGAAAACAGACTCAGGTTAAGTGGCAGAGCTGGAAACCCAACCCACGTTTCTTGACTCCAAAGCCGATATTTTGAAATTATACTACTCTGCTAGCCTCAACTCTTAAATCAGCTCTTATTTCCATAACTACAATTACCCAATCGCTTAATAAGTATTTACTCAGCTCCTATTATGGGTCAGTTGCTATTTTATGGGCTGAGGATACAGGAGTAAAACAAAGTTTTTAAAAACTCTGTCTTTATGGAGCTTACATTCTAGGACAGTGGTTCTCAACCAGGTACAATTTTGCCTCCCAGGGAACAAATGACAATATATGGAGACATTTTTTATTGTCACAACTGGGTGGTAAGAAGCTATTGGCATCCAGTGGGTACAGGCCAGGGATGCTGCTAAACACCTTACAATGCACAGGAGAGCCACTGAAAACAAAGGATTATGCAGCCTAAAGTGTCACTAGCACCAGTCTTTTCCAGAGTAAAGATGAAAGAGATAGTATGTTATATCTATACAAATACCTTATATCTAGAACTGGACATTTCTTAAGAGCAGAAACTGTGTTTTATTCTTCATATCCCAAAAACCAAACTCAAATACCAACCTTAGTAACTTGCCAACAGTGGATGATGAACAAAATAGAAATAAGACATTTTTCTGTATTACTATTAATCATGGCATATTACACAAAGTCTTCTTATAAAATGGAAAGGGTTCAAACTAAACTTTTTCTCACCTTTGAAATCACATTCAGAAAGCATCAAATACACTACATCAGGATCCAGATCAGAAAATATCTCTGAGATACTGGTGAAGAGTTCTTCCTGATCAACTTTTGTCTCACCCATGGAAGGAAGAGTAGTGGTTGGCTCCTCACGACTAGCAACACTGGATACAACTTCCTTAGGGTTTGCAGTCTTCCGAAAAGGATTTCCCCCAAGATTTTTCCTTCTCCTTGGCATTCTGACTTCCAAAACTAAAATGTTTCCCTTTTCTTAGTTAAGATGTTTGATATTTAAGTCATAATTCAAACAAAACAGGGTTAAATATCTTGCACAATCCAGCAGTAAAAAGACCTAAAATAGAAAGCAATTAAAAACACTCAGACTATATATATTTCCATTTCTAAAATCGGAATGACATGTTTATTTAACTCTAAGAAAGTACCACCAACTCTAACAGCAGAGCTAAAAAGTAGTCAATTTCTCTCTCTCCAAAGGGAAATTTTGGCCAGGATTGAACATGTTAAAAATGAAGATGTTAATAATATATATTTCAGAAGTGAATACACTGTTTCAATACCATTACTGCATTTTTGAAAACATGAAACAGTCTTCATAAATAAAACTAGAATTCATACTGAACGCCTATACTCAGATGTCCAACAGGCATCATAAATTTAACATGTCCAAAACAGCTCCTCGTTACTCCCTTCAAACCTGCTTTTCCCAGTCTTTCCCATCTCAGCGCAACTGTATCCTTCCAATGACTCAGGCCAAAATCTTGGAATAATCCTCGACTCCTCTCACCCCACATCCAACTGGTGAGCCAATTTTGTCAGTGTGACTCCCAAAACATATCCAGAATACTATCATTCCTCACTGCCTCCACTGCTACTACCCTAGACTTAGCTACCACAGCCTCCTGCCTGAATTACAACAAGTCTCCTCTCTCTCAGCTTCCACCCTTGCCCCTTCAGTCTCGCACCAAAGCCAGAGTGACTCCATTAAACCACAGGTTGAATCATGCCACTCTTCCACTAAACTAGTTGCTAGCTCCCTAATTCAGGATAAAAGCCAGCGCCCTTAAAATGGCCCATAACCTGAACACTTGTTACCTCTGTACCATCCTCTTTCCCTTTGCCACACTAAGCCTCCTCACTCTTCTTCAAACACACCAGCAATGCTCTCCCCTAGGAAACTTTATACCTTGGTTCCCTCTACTGAGCCACTTTTCTCCAAGTATCTCCCTATCACCTTCTTACCATTATTCAAATGTTACCTTCTCAGGACCTCAGTGTCCCAACAACATTTATCCCACTTTCCTACTTGAATTTTCTCCATAGGACTTACTGTCTTCTTACATAGCATGTTTTATATATGTATTATATTTACCACCCATATTCCAATAAAGTGTAAGCTCCACAAGGGCAGGGACTCATTTCTGGAATAGAACTACAGACAGTCTACTTGTTTTCTCTGCTTGAATATATCGAATAAACATTTCAAACTTACCATATCCAAAACTAAATGTCTAATATTTTTCCCAAAATCTGCTCTAATCATTGGGTCTGACAACTGTCATCTTTCCCTCATATTCCAACCTCCTACCTGTTCTTCCTGCTTGCACCTTATCCCCATATTGTCTATTTTCAATATACCAGCCTGACTGAGCTTTATACAATGTAAAAAGGTTCTGCTCTAAACCCCTGTAAGTTCTCAACATCACTCAAGAGAAAAAGCTAAAGTTCTTGCAATGGCCTATCTCCCTGCTAGCCCTTGATATACTCTTCCTCAAGATATCTGAACAGCTAACTCATATACTCCTTCAAATTTTTGCTCAAGTGTCACATACAATGGTTTCTCTCTTGATTATCCAACTGAAAATCACATAGCCTGTTCCCTCTGTCCCAATCTCCCCTTTGCTGCTAACCATTGCCCTTGTTATCTTCTATTATATTATAAAATTTACCTTTAATTAAATTTGTATCATAGCTCTCTCCAACTTCCAGAACTGCACTGTCAATATGGCAGCCACCAGCAACATATTCCTATTTAAATTTAAATTACAATTAAATAAATATACATTTATATATTAATATCAGTCATAAGTAGAATTCAGAGCAAAGAAAATTTTCAGAGACAAAGAAGGGCACTATGTAATGATAAAAGATCAAGTCATCAAAAAGATACACCAGGCTGGGTGTAGTGGCTCACACCTGTAATCCCAGTATTTTGGGAGGTTGAGTTGGGTAGACCTGAAGTCAGGAGTTGGAGACCAGCCTGGCCAATGTGGTTAAACCCAGTCTCTGCTAATAATACAAAAAATTAGCCAGACGTGGTGGCATGTGCCTGTAATCCCAGCTACTCAGGAGGTTGAGACAGGAGAATCACTTGAACCTGGGAGGCAGAGGTTGCAGTGAGCTGAGATCACAACACTACACTCCAGCCTGGACAACAAGAACAAAATTCCGTCTCAAAAAAACAAACAAACAAACAAAATATGGCAACCTTGGTCAGGTTCAGTGGCTTGTGCCCGTAATCCCAGCAAGTTGAACGTTGGGCGGGAGGATCACTTAAGTCCAGGAGTCTAAGACCAAGCTGGACAAAATGGCGAAACTCTGTCTCTACTAAAAACTTGGCCAGCTGTGGTGGCTCATGCCTGCAATCCCAGGACTTTGGGAGGCCAAGGCAGGTGGATCTCCTGAAGTCAGGCGTTCGAGACCAGCCTGGTCAACATGGTGAAACCCCATTTCTACTAAATATACAAAAATTAGTCAGGTAGTGAGTGCCTGTAATGTCAATTACTTGGGAGACTGAGGCAGGAGACTGCAACCCAGGAGTTGAAGGTTGCAGTGAGCCGAGATTGGGCCACCGCACTCCAACCTGGGCAACAGAGCAAGTCTCCATCTCAAAAAAAAAAATAAGTAGCAGGGCATGGTGATGCACACCTGTAGTCCTAGCTACTTGAGAGGCTGAGGCAAGAAAATTGCTTGAACCCAGGAAGCAGAGGATGCAGTGAGCCGAGATCACGCCACTGCACTGCAGCCTGGGCAACAGAGTGAGACTCCGTCTCAAAAAAAAAAAAAAAGCCAGGCACGGTGGCTCAAGCCTGTAATCCCAGCACTTTGGGAGGCTGAGGCGGGTGGATCACGAGGTAAAGAGATCAAGATCATCCTGGTCAACATGGTGAAACCCCGTCTCTACTACAAATACAAAAAAATTAGCTGGGCGTGGTGGCGTGTGCCTGTAATCCCAGCTATCCAGGAGGCTGAGGCAGGAGAATTGCCTGAACCCAGGAGGCAGAGATTGCGGTGAGCCGAGATTGCGCCATTGCACTCCAGCCTAGGTAACAAGAGCAAAACTCTGTCTCAAAAAAAAAAAAAATGGCCAGGCACAGTGGCTCACGCCTGTAATACCAGCACTTTGGGAGGTTGGATGGGGGGACAGATCACCTGAGGTCGGGAGTTCAAAACCAGCCTGACCAAATGGAAAAACCCCAACTCTACAAAAAATACAAAATTAGCCAGGCATGGTGGTATATGCCTGTAATCCCAGCTACTGGGAAGGCTGACACAGGAGAATCACTTGAACCTGGAAGGCGGAGGTTGCGGTGAGCCGAGATTGTACCATTGCACTCCAGCCTGGGCAACAAGAACGAAACTCTGTCTCAAATAAATAAATGAAAATTAAAAAGATACAGCAACCCTAAATGTATATGCACTAAACAGCATTGCTGTTTAGTGAGGCTAAAATAAGTGAGGCTAAAACTGAAAGGAAAACTAGACAAATTCACAATTATAGTTGAAGACTTCAACACCACTCTATCAACAATGAACGGAATAACTAGACAGATAATCAACAAAGATATACAACTCAACAACACCAATAATTAAGGATCTAATCAACTTACAGAACAGTCTACCCAACAACAGCAGAATATACATTATTTTCAAGTATTAACAGAACACATACCAAGATAGATCTAGGCTAAAAACAAGCCATAACAAATTTAAAAGAAATGAAATCACACAGGTGTGTTCTCCAAACACAATGGAATCAAACTAGAAATCAGACCAGGAGCAGTGGCTCACAACTGTAATCCCATCACTTTGGGAGGCTGAGGAAGGTTGATCACCTGAGGTCAGGAGTTTGAGACCAGGCTGGCCAACATGGCAAAACTCTGTCTCTACTAAAAGTACAAAAATTAGCTGGGTGTGGTAGCAGACACCTGTAATCCCAGCACCTTGGGAGGCTGCAGTGAGCAGACCACTCTGAGCTCAGGAGTTCAAGACTGGCCTGGGCAACATGGCCAAACCCTGTCTCAGTAAATACAAAAATTAGCTGGGTGTGGTAGCTCACACCTGTAATCCCAGCACTTTGGGAGGCTAAGGCAGGTAGATCACCTGAGGTCAGGAGTTCAAGACCAGCCTGGACAACATGGTGAAACCGTGTCTCTACTAATAATATGAAAATTAGCCAAGCGTGGTGATGCATGTCTATAATCCCAGCTATTCAGGGGATTGACACAGGAGAATCGCTTGAACCGAGGAGGGAGAGGTTGCAACGAGCCAAAATCAAGCCACTGCACTCCAGTCTAAGCGACCAGAGCAAGAATCTGTTTTTAAAAAAAAGAGAAGGCCAAGCACGGTGGCTCACACCTGTAATCCCACCACTTTGGCCAAGGTGGCCAGATCACCTGAGGTCAGGAGTTTGAGACCACCCTGACCAACATGGTGAAATCCCGTCTCGACTGAAAATACAAAAATGAGCCGGGCATGGTAGTATACGCCAATAGTACCAGCTACTTGGGAGGCTGAGGCAAGAGAATCATTTGAACCCAGGAGGCAGAGGTTGCAGTGAACCAACATCATGTCACTGCACTTCAGCCTGGGCAACAGAGTGAGACTCTGTCTGAAAAAAACAAAAAGAGAAACAGGAAACAATAAATAGTAGATAACAATTAAATTAGAAACAGAGAAACAAAGAGAAAATTCAATGAAATAAATTGCTGGTTCACCAAAATGACCAATAAAATTGAAAGACCTCTAGCAAGACTGACAAAGAAAAAGGAAGACACAAATTATTAATATCAGGAATGAAAAAGGAATATTACTACAGACCCTGCGGAGATCAAAAGGCTAATAAACGATGAACACACAAAAGTTTGACAATTTATATGAAATGGACCATTGTCTCAAAAACCACAAACTATCACAACTCAGCCAATAAGACACAGATAAAATCACTACAATTTGTAGGGAAATTTAATTCATAATTTTAAGACTCCCAAAAAAAAAAAATTTCCAGGGCCAAATAGCTTGAATGGAAAATTCTAACATCTTTTTTAGGAAAAA